CCCCATGCCTGAGCCTAGATGTGCACCTTTGGGGAAGCCGCTGTTCAGATCTGCCCCCACCACCTGGGGCAGGCAGGAGCTGGTGTCCTCACCTCGGGGAAGCCCCAATGAGACCTTGGGTGGGACAAGCCCGCCAGGGATGCTGGAATGTGGACAAGCCTCCCTGGAGGTGGCTCTCATCTGGGTGAACGCCTCCTCCAAAGCAGCTCAAAGCCCCTCAGCCCTGCCTTCCCTTGCCCAGGACCCCTGGCCCACCTCGGCCTGAGACTAGGGGGCCAGCTTCGTGCAGCCAGACCTGGCTGTCTTCAGCCCCTACTATGTGGCAGGCCTGCACCAGGGCACTGAGAGGGCACAGCAGACCTCTCCTCATGCTTCAAGTCTCCGTGCTGTATCATTGCTGCTCTTGGCCCTAGGAGCACCCAATGCAGGGGACACAGGTAGGACCAAACAGCGGCACAGTGAATGCAAAATGGCCCTGAGGACAGGGGACAGCGTGATGTGTGAGGCCCAAGGCAGTGGAGAGTGTGTCTGCTGATCTTCGAGGGAGGAGGGGGAGTTAGGGAGGGCCGCCGAGCAGCAATGATACAGCACGGAGACTTGAAGCATGAGGAGTGGTCCTTGTCCTGGCTCAAAGCCTCCCACAGCTCCGGTTGGGCTTGGTCCTCACTGGCCTCCTTACACACCTTCAGCCCATACTGTGCACCAACCAGGAATGTTCCTCTTTTCTCCGTGTGGGAAACCCCTGCCAACCACTCCACCTCACCAACCCCTCCTGCCCCTCCCCTGGCCACACACCTCGGGGCCTCTGCCAGAGCCACTTCCGTACCCCAAGGAGGTCATCTGTCTACTTGTCCCCCTCCTTCGCTGGGCTGGCACCCCCCTAAGGGCAGAGGGTATGGCAGGCTAACTCCGCCCTGAGCCTGAGGGGCTCACGTGGGGCCACAAGAGCGGTGAAGACATGGGAGCCTCAGACTCACACTCAGTCCTGGCTGGGCTCCTCCGAGCTGTGTGACCTGGCAGTGAACTGGGGGTCACAGTGGGGCCCCTCCCAGGGTTGTTCTGAGTCTCAATAAGACAACACAGGGAAAGAGCTTTGCACAGAGCCCCAGGAGGCACCTGTTAGCATCCATGCATTTGTGTTGAATCAATGTATAAAGACAGGGTTCTGCCTGCACTTCCTGTCTGCTTAGCTGAAAAACAAGGCCTCAGACACAGGGAGAAATCCTCACCTCAGCCAGACAAATCCTAGCCATAGCTGGGCCCGGAAGCCATCCACTGCCTCAGCAAACATTCACTGAGCATCTGCGTGTCAACCCCCTTCTGAGAGCCCAGCAATAACCCCACCAAAGAGAGGAGGAAAGAAGTGGTGTGCAAAGAGAAGAGAGACACTGAGGCACAGGGAGGTGATGCTCACAGAGGAAAAACATCCCAAGCACAGAACAGCCCGTGCAAAGGCACTCGGTGGGAGGGACTTGGCGTGTAAGAATGTGAAAACAAGGTGGTGTGGCTGGAGCTCAAGGAAGGAGTACAGAGAGTGGAGGTGAGATCACAGAGGTGGGCAGGGGGCCTGGCGGCTGGGGCTTCACCTGGTTCCAAAAGGAAGACCCTGGAGTCTTTTTCAAGTTAGAAAAGTGTTAGGATCTCATTTCCATCTTCAAAAACTCCCTCTAGTTTCAGGTAAATTGCGATCTGCCAGGGGGGCAGGATGGAAGAAAGGAGACGCGACTGGGGCAGGTAACAAGGCAGGAGATGGCAATCCCAGGACTGCGTTGGGGACCCATACAGATTCGGGATGTGTGCTGGAGGCAGAGCCAGCAGAGCCCTGTTACAGACTGGGTGTGGGCCATGGGGTTGCAGTGACAAATCAACAACACTCAGGCTCTCCCTAGCCAGTTTGGCTCAATGGATAGAGCGTCGGCCTGTGCACTAAAGGTTCAATTCCAGCCAAGGGCACATGCCTGAGTTGCGGGCTTAATCCCCAGTAGGGGGTGTGCAGGAGGCAGCTGATCAATGATTCTCTCTCATCATTGATGTTTCTATCTCCCCCCCTCCCTTCCTCTCTAAAATCAATAAAAATATATATTTTTTTAAAATCCAGGCTTGGCTTGAGTACCCCCACTCTAGGAACCCACTTTCCCATCTCCTGCCTGATCAAATGTCTTCTTTTGCCCATCCTACACCACATCCCAAGAACTGTGATTTGTGGGCTGGGGCCCTGAGTTTTTGAGTTACCCAGACAAAAGCTTCCATCACCCCGTCAGCCCCGGGGATGCCAAACAGTGGCAGGTGGGGTGACCACCCCACTTTACAGGTTGGGGGATCTAACCCCAAAGAATCGCCATACCCAAATCCAGGATGAGCAAATCGCCCAAAGGGGGTTTTAAACGCCCAACTACCAGGTGGCATTATCCCCACTTCAAAACGTGAAGGCAGGCAGGGGAGAATGACACCACCCTGAATCACACAGCTTATCTGTCTAACCATTCATTGTCTTAAACCCTTTATGATGTCAACTCCCTAAAAATTGTCACAACCCTATGAGGCCTGGGCTACTGCTGCTCACATTTACCAGGAAAGGGGTCTGGGGATCGGAGAGATGAAGCTGCTCCCCCTTAAGGGCAAGTCAGGGCCCTGCATGGTGGAGGTGGGGTCTTGGGCTCTGGGGACCAGACCAGTCTGCGATGTCGCACTTCCTTTGGCGACAAAGCCCCGCATGTGTCACCATGTCAAGCCCCCTCCCCCGCCCTGATGCCCAGACCGGCCTCCCACGCCCTACTGAACGGGAGCGGCCGAAAGGACCAGGCTGGGGCTGGGGAATCTCCGGGGACCCCTCCCTACCCCCAGGCGATTTCAGGGACCCGGAAATGAATGAGGTGCCTGGGCCTGGAATCCTAGGTGGGGTCGGGGTCGGGGAAGCCAGGGAGGGGTCAGCAGGAAGCTCTCCGCAGGACCCAGGGGTCGAAGGCCATAGGTCAGAGAGAGGGGCGGGGCCTGGCCAGAAGGGGCCTGGCAGGGAGGTGGGGGGGGGGGGTCGGGCTTTATTGGAGGTGGGTGGGCCCGCGGCGCCATTTTGTGGGGCGGAGGGGTAGCACGGGCCTGGCGGCCGCCCTTACCATCTTCTGCTTCCTCTGTCGCCGCCTCAGCTACTGCCTCAGCCGCCGCCGCCGCCGCCACAGCCGCCTCCTTAGCCGCCGCCGCCGCACAGTAACTTCCAGCCACGCTACAGCCTGCCCCGATGGCGGCGTCGCCCTCCCGTCATTGGCCCATCCTCTAGCCCCGCCCCGGGATATGCGGCCTCCGCGCGCTCGCATTGGCCAGATGCGGATAAGTCACGGATGCATTGGTTGCCACGCCTCTCTCCGTGGTCAAGTTCGGTTGAAGGAGCAGAACCCCGCCCGGGACTTGGAAGCGATAGGGCCATAAAATCCGGAAGTGGGCGGAGGCCGCACCCGCGAAGCCTCCTGGGATTTGCAGTCCGTAAGTCCTGGAGGTGTCGCCAGTGTTTCCTCTTTCTAGTTTACTACGCTTTTTAAGATGATGTCTTATCGGGTTCCCACAGCAGCACCGGAAGACGGGGGGACCGTCATAACACTCCCAGCCTCCCCGGGGTTTCGGCATATCTACACAGTTCCCGCACTAGCTCTTTGGAAGTCTTTGAACTCACAAATCAGACTCTCTTGTTCAAACATTTCTCATGGCTCCCCAGCCCTCCATGGATCCAGTCCCACCTCCTGGGCTCCAAATTCTGAGCCCCTCCTGCCTCCCTTGTCCACCTTTTATCCTGACCCTGTCCAGTCCCCTCTCCCTTTGGGGCCTGTCTAGGCCCTGCTACCCACTCCAGGAATCTGTCCAACAGCATTTTCCCCAAAGCTAAATCAGGAGCCTTCTCTGGGCTCCCATAGCCCTGACTTGGCTGTGTCCAGACTGGCTGGGTACAAATCAGGCCCCAACCATCCACCCACCCACCCCTCAAGTGACAGCCTGGTGAGGACAGGACCCAATACATAGGAAATACGGAATAAGTTACTGAGTGGAAGCTAGTATTACTCTAAGAACACAGCAAGCTTTCTCAGACCCCTGAAAGTTGTGACATGTGTAAGACAAGTGACAATTTAGACATTTAATGATATTAAGGAATTACTGACTTTTTCTAAGTGTGAGAAATTTTGTGATTATGTTTTAAAGAGTCCTTATCTTGGAGAAATGCATTCTTAAATATTTACATAAGAAATAACACCATGCCCTAACTGGTTTGGGTCAGTGGATAGAACATAGGCCTGTGGACTGAAGGGTCCCACGTTAGATTTCTGGTCAAGGGCATGTACCTTGGTTGTGGGTACATTCCCAGTAGGAGGTGTGCAGGAGGCAGCTGATGGATGTTTCTAACTCTATCCCTCTCCCTTCCTCTGTAAAAAATCAATTAAAAAAAATATATATATATATATTAGGAAAAAGAAATAATACCATGCCTGAGATTTGCTTTAAAACAAAACAAAACAAAAAACAGCTCTAACCGGTTTGGCTCAGTGGATGGAGCGTCGTCCTGCGGGCTGAAAGGTCCCAGGTTCGAATTCCGGTCAAGGGCATGTACCGTGGTTGTGGCCACATCCCCAGTAGGAGGTGTGCAGGAGGCATCTGACTGATGTTTCTAACTCTCTATCCCTCTCCCTTCCTCTCTGTAAAAAATAAAATATATTTTATAAAAAAAAAAAAAACAAACAGGAGGGAGCAGAATGGACTGTAAGTAATTGGTGGTCAGAAATGGGTGGGTACACAGCGAGGTTCATATTCCGTGGACTGTTGCCCTTATGTAGGATTCTGACTTCCTATTCCCCTTAGCAGCCCAACCCCAGACTTTTGCCCTGGGCCAACCCCACAACTGGAGGCGCACTCATGTCTGAGTCATCCAACCTTCCTCACAAAAACAGCGGCTGCGGGAGAGGTCTGGAGCGAGGGAAATGCTTTAATGGCAGGGGGCAGTCTCAGGGGCAGCGGCGCGCTCAGTGGCTCAGCGATTTTCGGCCCTTGAGCATGCGGCGAAGGATGACCTGGACACCCGCCGGGGTGCTCAAGCGCTTGACCCAGCCGTGCTTGTGCTTGCGTTTGATGTTGCTCGGCTGGTACTCGTTCCCGCGTGCCTTGCCCCGGCTCGGCTGCGTGGTGGGGAGTCCCCAGGCATCGGGTAGCCGCAACAAGGTCTGGGGCTGGAGCCACCTGCAAGGGCAGAGAAACAGCGAGAAAGGTCAGAGGGGGCGCTCAACCTCTCTCAGCCTGGGCTCCCCATCCATGCAGACACTGAGCCTAACTGCAAAAGGGGCGCAGGAATGGCGCAAGGCACTGGCAAGTCGTGTGGTCGGTACACAGCTGGCCCCAGCACCCCCCCCCTCCCCGATTCCCCTGAGGACTAACCCCCCTGAGGACTCACCTGGCATCCTGTATAGCCCTACTGACGGGACACAACTGGCGACTCAGGGATCTGCTCAAGAGAGCCATGTCTGGCCTCGGATCACGCGGCCCGTCCGCGTCGGCTATTCCGAAAACCGCAGGCTCCGCAACTGCGGAGCGGAGGCTTCTGGGAAATGTAGTTTCTCTAACCTCACTGCCGCGGGGGGCCTCCGAGATTGTAGTTCCTCTTCCTGCGTGCCAAAGGCGTGAGCCGCCGCACCGCAGGTGTGTGTAGTTTCCTCATGTGGATCAGTAGGAGCTGGCGAACGGCACTTCTTAGGCTAGCTCGCTATGTCCCGCGGTCTGCTGGGAGTTGTAGTTCCTCCCGCCCACTGGCCCAGGGTACCCCGGGGTGGCGGCGGCACAGCTGGTGCCAGCTGCAGGAAAGGGCTAGTTGAGCCTCCCACGTCCATCGAGAGCCCAGCAGATGGTACCCAGTTGGCTGGCAGCTTTCGTCTGGTTGCAGCCAAGTCTCCGCCCCTTGGCGCTAAGCCCAGGAGGCCTGAGTTCGAGTTGGCTCATGTCCGAGGGGTGATCCCTGCTCCTCTCCGCGATCCAGTTTCCAGTCAAGTTGCAAACTTGTCCTTGGCGGTGCCCCCATTGGAGCTCTAAAACTTAAAAATATATATATATATATTATTATTATTTTAATCCTCACCTGAGGGGATATTATATATATATATATATATATATATATATATATATATATATATATAGAGAGAGAGAGAGAGAGAGAGGTGAGAGAGAGAGAGAGGTGAGAAAAACATCAATCTGTTGTCTCCTGGAAGTGCCCTGACCAGGGATCGAATCAAAAACCTTTTGTTGCACAGGTTTAGAAGAACTATGGTTAGAAGGATTTTTCAAATACTCAGATCTGTGGCTCAGTGGTTGAGCGAGGACCTATGAACCAGGAGGTCAAGGTTTGATTCCCAGTCAGGGCACATGCTGGGGTTGCAGGCTTCATCCCAGTGTAGGGCATACAGGAGGCAGCCGATCGATGCTTCTCTCTCATGGTTGATGTTTCTATCTTTCACTCCCTCTCTCAAATTATATATATATATCTCCCCACTGTCCCAGGGAAAAATGCTCTTCTGGCAGGCATGTGACACACCCTAACTTTCACCCATGCCTTCCCTTGCCCCTGGTACCCTTGTATTCATCTTTTTTTTTTTTTTTTTTTTTTTTTTTTTACAGAGAGGAAGGGAGAGAGATAGAGAGCTAGAAACGTCGATGAGAAACATCGACCAGCTGCCTCTTGCACACCCCCTACTGGGGATGTGCCCGCAACCAATGTACATGCCCTTGACCGGAATCGAACCCGGGACCTTTCAGTCCGCAGACCAACGCTCTACCACTGAGCCAAACCGGTTTCGGCCCTTCTATTCATCTTAAAAAAAATAACAAAAAAACCTCTGATATTGTATCCCTAAATGCTACTCCTCTCTCTGGCCCAAATCTGCCCCCCACGTAACTCTCCCCACACTCTTCCAGAAGCCCGGGGCCCCTCAAGGCCAGGCTGAGTCCCTGCCAGCAGGCACCCAAGCATCTCCCAGCTTGTGTGTTTGCTGCAAGAATATTATCCCAGAAGCACTCTGAGTGGGCAGGCGTGGGTGGCTGGACCTGATCCAGCTCTGGCAGCAAATTTTAGGAGTTGGGAATGGACAAGGAATGGTTAACCCCTTGTCCTCTGAAGCCCATCTTACCCGCATTGTCATTTAGCAAACCACTACAATACTACACTAGTACAGTAATGCCAATAAAGTATCGAGCGCTTACCGCCCTGTTTTACCTGCATAGAGAACGCATGGGGAGATTCATTGCATAGATACATAAATGGGAAGCAACTTGCCCGGGGCCATGTATCTGCAAAGGGCAGAGGGTGGATTTGGACCCTGGGCTCTCTGACTCCAGCTGGGACCACAGACTCACTGGTTAAAGTGGCCCATCTGGAGAACTCCAATTCCCTAATTCCCCATAGCGCCAAGACTTCTGTTTAAAGGTTTAAGGAATACACTTCCAGGACTTGGGATCATACAAGCGTGGATCCAAATCCCGTCTCTACCCACCCTCCTCCACTTGTGACCTTGTGCCTTGTATGCGCCTCAGTTTCCCCACCTGAAATTGCAAAGATCTGGAAGTCTCTACTTCCAGGGAAAGGTCAGCACAGAGCGAAGGACCTGGGGCTTCGTTTGGAGGGGACAGGGCAGTTCGGAGGAGGCAGGGGCTGGCCGAGGGGATCCTGTTAGCAGCGAGGGGGCTCCAGGTCCCGCCGCCTGGAGCTCCTCAAGCACCAACTAGCGACCCCTTCTCGACCCTGGGCCAGGCCCCAAACCTCCTCCTTCCACCTCTGCAAAAGCCCCTGGAGCCGCTAGGCAGTTGCAGCCCGCCCCCATCCCGAGATGCCGCTTCTGATTGATAGCCTAACTAGGGCAGGTCGGTCTCCGGGCTGCGATTGGCGGAGGGGCCCGTCGGTCGGCGCGCGGCCCCGCCCCCCCGGGAGACACTTAAAGGGCCGGTTTGCTCAGCAGCGGTGGGACGCCCCCCGCGTTGACCACCCTTCCGGACCCGCGCCGTCCCGCGTAGACGCGCCCGGCCGGATCCCGCGCCAACATGTAAACGGCTCCTGCAGGCAGACGCCGGCTCCTCCGCCGGGGACCCCTCCGCCCTGCCCCGGGCCCGGAGCCCTCGATGAGGTGAGCGGGGAGTGGGCCCTGCGAGGGGAGTATTGGAGCCCCCCTCCGGGGCTTCCACTTCTAAAGGGGTATCCACAGAGTCCGCGCTCGGGTTCTTAGGGAGTCGTGGAGCCCCGGTGGCCTTGACCCCGCCACAGTGCTGACAGGCACCCGGGAGGAAGGGGCCTGGCATCAGGGAGGGGGGCTGGCGTGGCGCATCGGTGTCCCCCTCTGCAATCTGCGGTTGGGACCCGCCAGAAACAGGGGGCGGGGTGCGGCCTGCTCCCCTTCCATCAGCAGGAACGGGTCACGGAGGGCCTTCGGCAGCATGCGTTATCCCCGCGGCGCCAGGGAGGGGGGTGGGGGAAGGGTTGGTCCCATCTCCAGGCCCTAGAGACAATGGGGGTGTGATGTGCCCATATCCCCCTTGAGTTATGTAACGGCCTGTGGTTGCCATGGACACGGGAGAGACGGCCCAGGGAGCAGGATGGAGACCTGGAAGCCCCCAGGCAGAGAACACTGCCTTCTCCATCTTCATCTCCACCATTCGGGGTTGTGCATCAGCCCCCAGAATCCAGTGTTGGGGCCTCAGCTTGTCCTTCTGTGGAACAGATCCAGCGCGCTGTGGTCTTGGAGAGATGTGAACAACGCCTCTGGAGCTCAGCCCCAAACCTTGTCCCCCAGGGCCTTACCCTTTCAGGAGCCAGGGGTAGAGATTTGGAATTGGGGCATTTTTAGGTGCCTTCAGAGACCCACAGAACATGCTAGCTCAGGGACAGGGAGCTAATGAAAGAGTGCATGTGTGATTGGATGAATGAATGAATGAATGGGCTTAGGAAACCATAACTGCTGTAAACCTGAGCAGGGGGAGATCCTCCAGACTGGGCCATAGTCTGGGCCCCCCCCCCTCTCCAGGAAGGTCCACCTGACTACACCACCTTCCCTATAAATGCCTCTTGTGCCAGCCATAGCCGGTCCTTCCTCTCCAGGATAGACCAGCATGGCCAACCGCCATGCAGGCACTGACCAGACAGAACATCTTCCTTTTTCTATTTCTTTTCTTTTTATATATATTTTATTGATTTTTCTACAGAGAGGAAGGGAGAGGGCCAGAGAGCTAGAAACATCAATGAGAGAGAAACACTGATCAGCTGCCTCCTGCACACACCCCACTAGGGATGTGCCCGCAACCAAGGTACATGCCCTTGACAGGAATCGAACCTGGGACCTTTCAGTCCGCAGGCTGACACTATCCACTGAGCCAAACTGGTTTCCGATTCTTTCTTTTCTTTTTTTAAAATATATTTTTATTGCTTTCAGAGGGGAAGGAAGAGGGAGAGAAAGATAGACACATCAATGATGAGAGAAGCATCAATTGGCTGCCTCCTGTACAACCCCCCACTGGGGATCCAGCCAGCAACCTGGGCATTTGCCCTTGACTGGAACTGAACCCGGGACTCCTTAGTCTGCAAATCGGCATTCTATCCACTGAGCCAAAACAGCTAGGGCTTTCTTTCTTTAAAAATATTTTTTATTGATTTCAGAGAGGAAGGGAGGAGAGAGAGAAACATCAATGATGAGAAAGGATCATTGATTGGCTGCCTCCTGCACACCCCGCACTGGGGCACCGAGCCTGCAACCTGGCCATGTGCCCTGACCAGGAATCCAACCATGACCTCAACCCGAGCCACGCTGGCTGGGCCAGACAGACAGAACCTATCGGTGCTTGGCTGGGCCTGATCCTCCACAAACTGGAGCCTAGATGGAGCCTCGCGGGGTGACTGGTGCTCAGGGTATGGGAAGCGGGTGGTGAGGGGGAAGCTTCTAGGACCCCTCAGCTGTCTTCCCCGCTCACAGGACACACCATGCTGACCGGGGTGACGGATGGGATCTTCTGCTGTCTCCTGGGGGCGCCGCCGAACGCAGTGGGGCCGCTGGAGAGCGTGGAGTCCAGCGATGGCTACACCTTTGTGGAGGTCAAGCCCGGCCGCGTGCTGCGCGTGAAGCACGCGGGACCTGCTCCAGCTCCCACCCCGCCCCCGCCCCCGCCCCCGCCTGACACGGCGCAGGGGGACCGGGCCGGCCTGGTGCGGTGCCAGCGCCGGATCACCGTGTACCGCAACGGGAGGCTGCTGGTGGAGAACCTGGGCCGGGCGCCCAGAGCGGACCTCCTGCTCGGGCAGAACGGCTCCGGGGAGCCCCCGGCCTCTCTGGAGGTGGAGCTGGCGGACCCGGCGGGCAGCGACGGCCGCTCGGGCCCCGCCAGCGCCGGGCCTGGCAGCGGCGGGCGGCGGCGGCGGGCCCGGCGCCCCAAGAGGACCATCCACATTGACTGCGAGAAGCGCATCACCAGCTGCAAGGGCACGCAGGCCGACGTGGTGCTCTTCTTCATCCACGGCGTGGGCGGCTCCCTGGCCATCTGGAAGGAGCAGCTGGACTTCTTCGTGCGCCTGGGCTACGAGGTGGTGGCCCCGGACCTGGCCGGGCACGGGGCCAGCTCGGCGCCCCAGGTGGCCGCCGCCTACACCTTCTATGCGCTGGCGGAGGACATGCGCGCCATCTTCAAGCGCTATGCCAAGAAGCGGAATGTGCTCATTGGGCATTCCTACGGGTGAGCCAACGCGGGGGGGGGGGGGGGGGGAGGGAGAGAGAGAGAAGGGATTGGGGGCTGACAGATACTGGACACCCCCATCACAAAACACTGATTTTCCTCATTGGAAAAATCCCATTAACATCTGCAACAAGGCAGGGATTCCTACCACCAGGGCTATTGTTTTAAAGCAGTGTTTTTCGGTAGTTCTTTTCTGTAGGATGTTAGCTGCATTTCTGACCTCTACCCACTAGGTACCACTAGCACATGGTCTGGTGATGATCCTGACCGAAATGTCTTCAGAAGCTGCCAAAGTTCCCCTGGTGGGCAGTTACCCCTGGCTGAGAACCAATGACTTCCACTAAGATAAAAAAGTGCTTGCTCTGGAGATCCAAGAGCCCCAAGGAAAAGCTAATTGGAATCCCATAAATTCTCTTTACAAAGCAGTTTGCTGTGACTCACTCTCCCTTAAAGGAGTGATAGATGATCCCATCTAGCATTTTTTTTTTCAATAAATATATTTTTTTATTGATTTCAGAGAGGAAGGGAGGAGAGAGAAATCTCAACGATGAGAGAGAATCATTGATTAGCTGCCTCCTGCACGCCCCCACTAGGAATCGAGCCTGCAACCCAGGCACGTGCCCTTGGCCAGAATTGAACCTGGGACTCTTCAGTCCGCAGGCCGACGTTCTATCCACTGAGCCAAGCCGGCCAGGGCAACCACCTAGCATTTCGATGAGAGTTCCCTCTATGGAAGGCTCTGGGCCTGGGTGCCTGATCACTGTCAAGTGGCACCACTCCCTCCTTTATCCAGAAGGAAAGGCAGAATCCAGTCAGCCAGGTTGAGAATAATCGTTTTAGTGGTTGTAGCCTATGCAATTAGACAAGAAAAAGAAGTGTTACATAAACTTCAGAAAGAAAGAAAGCCAGGCTGGGAAATAACAGGTCTTATTTGTTTATAGGATAGCAACCCCCAACGTGGATGCCTATGCTAAATGATTTCTCCAATTAAATGATCACTCACCCACGCTAGCTCCTGTGATCCCATAGCAATGCTGTGAGGTCAGCATAGTTACTTTTTTATACGTGTGGAGATGGAGGCTTAGAGGTGAAGCATTCTGCCCAAGGGCATTCCGTGAGTCACTGGCACAGTCAGGTCCACCCAACTTCTGCCTGTCCCATCCTCCCTTGTTATTGTAGAGACGGGTCAACTTTTTCTTAAAGGGCCAGATAGTAAATACTTTAGGTTTGTGAATCATCCATCAGTCTCTGTTGTAACTTCACAACTCTAGTGTCATAGCAGGAAAGCAGCCATAATTGTAAACGAGTGGGGTGGCTGTAAAATTCCAATGAAATTTTACACAATATCTTATAAGTTTACAAAATTGTAAATTTCGTTTACAAAAACAAGTGGTCACCTTAGAAGGAACGAGGCACTGACCCAGGGGGCTCCTCGGGCAGACCCTTCCACCTTACATAAGGCAGGCAGATGGCACACCAGGGGGAAGGGGTACACAGGAAACAGGGATTTCCTCCGGGCAGCCAAAGGGTTTGTTCAACCAGATTGCTCTTCCAACAGTTGGCTTATCCCTTTGGAGGTCGTGGTACCTTGGGGACCTATTGAAAGGTCTAAGTTCAACACACACACACACCTCACAATTTCAGAACATTCAAATGCCCAGCCCAGCCCTCGTCCCCAATGTCCACGGGCCCTAGGGGGGAAATCTTGGTCTTCGCGGACCTGCCTCTGGGTAAGGGGTGTACATCAACCCCCTCACTGTCTGCACCCTTCTGACCACCACCCTTCACCCCCACCTACCCACTGGGCAGCGTCTCCTTCTGTACATTCCTGGCGCACGAGTACCCAGACCTGGTGCACAAGGTCATCATGATCAACGGCGGGGGCCCCACGGCGCTGGAGCCCAGCTTCTGCTCCATCTTCAACATGCCCACGTGTGTCCTGCACTGCCTGTCGCCCTGCCTGGCCTGGAGCTTCCTCAAGTGAGTGGCCCCAGTACTGGCAGACCCTGGCACCTCCCGCGTTGTACGGGATGGGGGGCCGTAGGGCTGGGGCTGGCGTGGGGGGGAAGAGGGCACCCTGGGTGGACCAACGGCACAAAAACTCCCACCCGTGTCCCTGCCACCAGGGCCGGCTTCGCCCGCCAGGGGGCCAAAGAGAAGCAGCTCCTGAAGGAGGGCAATGCGTTCAACGTGTCGTCCTTCGTGCTGCGCGCCATGATGAGCGGCCAGTACTGGCCCGAGGGCGACGAAGTCTACCACGCGGAGCTCACCGTGCCGGTCCTGCTGGTCCACGGCATGCACGACAAGTTCGTTCCGGTGGAGGAAGACCAGCGCATGGCGGAGGTAGGGGCTCAGCACGTGGGCCACCGTACCCCCGACCCTCCTCCTGCAACCCAGGGGGACTCAGCCCCAGGGACATGGGAGCTTGGAGTGAGAAATCCAGAACGTAGGGCTGCCCTGCCCAGCTGCCAGGATTATGCACATAAAAAGGCCGCTTTACAGCTGGGATGTGTATAAGTGAGCAGTGAGTGGGGTGGGCTACAAAACTCTGGGAGAGCAGGCCAGGTGGGTCTTTAGATCAGAGGTTGCCAAAGAGGGGTCTTAGGATCATTAGCACTTGGCATAGCTCTGAACCAGCAGTTCTTTTTTCTTTTTTTAATGTGCTTTATTGATTTTTTTTTTTTTTTTTTTTTTTTTTTACAGCGAGGAAGGGAGAGAAATAGAGAGTTAGAAACAGCGATGAGAGAGAAACATCCATCAGCTGCCTCCTGCACACCCCACACTGGGGATGTGTCCGAAACCCTGACCGGAACCGAACCTGGGACCCTTGAGTTCGCAGGCCGAAGCTCTATCCACTGAGCCAAACCAGTCAGGGCTGGACCAGCAGTTCTTTTTTTAAAATATATTTTATTGATATTTTACAGATAGGAAGAGAGAGGGATAGAGAGTTAGAAACATCTATGAGAGAGAATCACCGATCAGCTGCCTCCTGCACACCCCCCACTGGGGATGTGCCCGCAACCAAGGTACCTGCCCTTGACCAGAATCGAACCCGGGACCTTTCAGTCTGCAGGCCGACGCCCTATCCACTGAGCCAAACCAGTCAGGGCTGGACCAGCAGTTCTTTTTTTTTTTTTTTTTTTTTTTTTTTTTTAATATATTTTATTGATTTTTTACAGAGAGGAAGGGAGAGATATAGAGAGCTAGAAATGTCGATGAGAGAGAAACATCGATCAGCTGCCTCTTGCACACCCCCTACTGGGGATGTGCCCGCAACTCAGGTACATGCCTTGACCGGAATCGAACCCAGGACCCTTCAGTCCGCAGACTGACGCTCTACCACTGAGCCAAACCGGTTTCTGCTGGACCAGCAGTTCTTAACCAGCGAGGATTCTGCTCCCTTACCCCAGCCCCAAGGGAAGCCTGGAAATGCCTGCGGGCTTTTTGGTTGTTGCATTAGGGGTGGAGAGCTGGGGAGGTGCTACTGGTGTCTGCTGGTGGAGGCCAGGAATGCTGCTTAACGCCTCGCAATAAACAGGACGGCCTTCCAGCAAAGAAAAACCAGGTCCCACATGGCAGTAGTGCTGGGGTGGAGGAATCCTGAGCTGGGCTCCAGCAGGGGGCAGGCTGTCCTCCAGCCCCTCCCCCCCCCCCCCCCCCTTGCCCCCGATGAACGTGCAGCAGTGAGCCGAAACTGGTTTGGCTCAGTGGATGGAGCGTCAGCCTGTGGACTGAAAGGTCCCAGGTTCGATTCCGGTCAAGGGCATGTATCTTGGTTGCAAGCACATCCCCAATAGGGGGGTGTGCAGGAGGCAGCTGATCGATGTTTCTCTCTCATCCATGTTTCTAGCTCTCTATCCCTCTCCCTTCCTCTCTGTAAAAAAAAAAGTCAATAAAATTAAAATAAATGAAGTGCAGCAGTGAGGTAGACTTCAGGGGGGCCTCCCCCACGCTGCAAGCCATGGGTGGCCGGCGAGGAGTCCCAGAGCCGCCGGCTGTGTGCGCCCTGAGCCTTTATCCCCTGCAGATCCTGCTGCTGGCCTTCCTGAAGCTCATCGACGAAGGCAGCCACATGGTGATGCTGGAGTGTCCGGAGACGGTCAACACGCTGCTCCATGAATTCCTGCTCTGGGAGCCCGAGCCCTCGCCGCCAGTCCTGACGGCGCCTCCCGAGAAGAAGTAGCTGCCGAGCCAGCAGGGCCCTGAGGAAGAGCAGGAGCCCGCGCTGCTGGGCCTGCAGCCGGGCCATCGGGGCAGGCCGCTAACTCTGGTGGGCGGGGTCAGCCTGGGGAGACACCCCGAGGCTGGCTGGGCTGGCGTGGCATTCCAGGGAGCCAGGTGGACACACACGCTCCTCCTTCAGCTTGCATCCAGTGGGGCCCAACCAATGTGGAGCCCATCCTGCCCGCAGCAGGGACTCTCGGAGACGATGATGATCTTGTACAGAAGCCCCCTGCCCATCAAAGCCAAGGCCATGGTCATGGTCGAGGCGACACCCACTCCATTGTCTTACATGTTAGCCATGCTTAATCCAGAGACCCTGGGAGGAGGGGCCGCCCCGTGACCCAAGACCCTCCACTCCCATTCCCTGGCGTTGGTAGCTTTTGTTGTCTAAGGGGGCAGGGGTGGGGGCACTGGCACCACAGAACCTGCACATCTCAACCTGTAACTCAATAAAAAGAAGTGACAATCCAAGCCTCTGGACCTGTGCCGAGTGGCCAGGGGGTGGGGGTGGGGGTTGAGGGGGGGGGTTTCCCCTGAGCCTCAGTTTCCCCATCTGCAAATCGGGCTGATGCAGGTACCTGTCCTTCCAGGATTGCTTCCCCCAATCTCCCCTTCCTCCTCAGAACACGGGTGCTTGGGCAGTATTCCAGAGCAGGAGGAAAGTCGGGGGATGAATTCCTTGTCGCTGTAGGGGAGGGAGGGCTCCATTGGAGGCTGAGGTGAGGATTGCTGGATGTTGCAGGGGAGTAGAGGAGCCATCATGGAGTGCCAGCTGTATACAAGCCCCGTGCTGAGTGCCCGACTCTCAGTTCACGGACTCCCCTCCACCCCGTCACACAGCAAGTCAGTGCCTCTTGCCGTCCCGTCTTATCTTTCAACTTGGTTTCAGGTCATGAAGATAGTTTTGAGGCCACCACCTCATTTTTAGCAGGATTGCCCTGCCCCATGGCCATGCTCTCGTTCCTCTGTATTTTACCTAATGTTTGTATACCTAGGCACACTGTGGCTTGTGAGGATGGTGGGAGGAGACACCTGCCTCCTTGGTTACTGCCGTTGGGAACTTTCCCCTCTGGTTTATGAGCCAGTTTAGCCCAGTGACCCTCCCAAGGGCATGGCTGTCCCTCGGGAAATTCTGGAGTTTTACCGCATCTGGGAGGTGGAGGGCAGGGCGATAGTGACACCTCGTGGGTGGAGTCCAGGGATGCCTCCTGGGCCCTTGCAATGCACAGGACAGCCCCCACCCCCAAAGGAACTGGGCTTTGAGAATTGGTGGAGCAGAAGTTGGGAGACTCTGGTAGAGAAATCCCATCTCTCTGGGGACTCTGGAGGCCTCCGGATTCTTTGCTAGTGATCTGTCTGTGAGTTCCTGGGTAGATGACACACTGTCTTAATTGCTGTCACTTTATCAGGAGACTTGGTGTCTGGGAAGCTGCTCAGCTCAGACAGAGGTTTCTTCAGTTCCATTACAATGAGAGTCCAGCTGAAACTGGTTTGGCTCAGTGGATAGAGCATCGGCCTGTGGACTGAAGGGTCCCGGGTTCGATTCTGGTCAAGGGCATGTACATTGGTTGCGGGCACATCGCCAGTGGGGGTTGTGTAGGAGGCAGCTAGTCAATGTTTCTAGCTCTCTATTCCTCTCCCTTCCTCTCTGTAAAAAAATCAATAAAAATGTATTTTAAAAAATAATAAAATAAAATGAGAGTCCAGGCCCCCTCTAGAGGCTGGGAGGGGAAGTTTGATTCCGGTGTCACCTCATGGGCTCCAAAGCGGAGGAACCCAAGTAGGAGAAACTCTGTCCAGGTGAGAGCCGGCCCTACAGAACGTGGTGGCTGAGGCTGCAGTGAGGATGAGACAATGACACAAGGCGGCAGCAGATTTCCCCAAGTCCCTAGTTGTTTCTGGAGAAACAACTTCTGGAAAACGCAAATGATCCGGCCAGCACCTCACCAGCGCCACAGCCTGGCATGTTCCTGAAACTCTTTGCAAATGTGCCTCATCCGAAATCACAGCGCACGCACCGCCAGCACTTGGGGCTGATGATCCCATTTCCTGGTGGAAGAAACAGGCTCCGAGAGGGAATGGCCCCGGGGCTGGTGCCTTGTGCCCACAGCCAGCACGCTCCCTAGCCCCGGCCTATCCCCACCACAGCTGGCACCTGGAGAGCATCAGGGCTCCTCCCTCACCCGGAGAGGCTCCCCCTGAGTCACCCCGGCTCCGTGCGGGCCTGAGTCACCTCCAATCCCCACAGTCCCCTGAGGTGGGGCCTCCCTGTCCCCACTGAGGACACTGAGGCTCAGACAGACCAGTTATTGGTCTGAAGTTCCCGCTGGCAGCGGCCGGGCCCAGCTCTTCACCGGGGTAGATGCCCTCCCTGCGGCTGAGGAAGCTCCCGGCCCACAGTGTGGTGCCCGGTGCCTGGAAGACGAACGCGGACTGTGTCCACACAGACAGGCCCAAACTTAAGGTGACCAGATTTTAACACTGGTAAAGCGGGACACCATTGACCGAGGTGGGGGGGGGAAGGGGGGCCCCACAGGGTGTTCTTGATTAAAAATTTGGTCTATGAAGCTGAAACCGGTGTGGCTCAGTGGATAGAGTGTCGGCCTGCAGATTGAAAGGTCCCAGCTTCGATTCCGGTCAAGGGCATGTACCTTGGTTGTGGGCACATCCCAGTGGGGGGTGTGCAGGAGGCAGCTGATCGATGTTTCTCTCTCATCGATGTTTCTAGCTCTCTATCCCTCTCTCTTCCTCTCTGTAAAATATCAATAAAATATTTTTTAAAAATTGGTCTATATGGAGCAACAAAAATTTTCATAGAACGCAAAAATAGTACTGTAATATATTTTTTAAAATTTCAAACCTAAGTACAATTTACAAATATAATAAATTTTTTTAAAAATTACGGTGTGTATAGTATTATTTTATTCTTTGGCATATTTCTCATTTGAGTGAATTTTTTTTTTAGTAGATTGCTGTTGTTTAAAAGGTCATGACATTTTTCATAAGAATTTGTTGAATTATATTTCACACATAAAATGGCTTTCAAAGTCTCAACATCTAATTTGTAACGTAAGTCGTAAGTGCCACTTTCAAGGCCGGTGCTAGACTTTTTGCCGCCACTATAAAATATAAATAATACGAGTACTGTCTGCTAAATTCAAGAAAATTTATGTATTTATGAAATAAATAAATTACTTGAATAAATAAATTATCTGAATAGCTGATTTGTAATGACATCACTTGTTTAACTATAATAGCTTACTAGCACGCAGTATGATGTGTATCATCTGAGAGACAGTTACAAAATGTTTTTGTCATTGCGAACTTTGATAAGCAGTTCTCGATAATCAGTTCTCAACCATTATTTGTTATTATTAAAGTTTAACATTAAAAAATTAACAAAAATAATATTAAACTCATATCCTGGCTAAATAGCCACATGGCCGCCGAAAACCATATATTCCCTTCCCGTTCTCCTGCCATTTCCTAGCTTGTTGTGCATTCTTTCCAAAAATTGGGACTTTTTAAAAACGCCACGAGATGTGGGACAAATTGTTAAAAATCGGGACTGTCCCACCAAAAGCGGGACATCTGGTCACCTTATCCAAACTGCCAAAGCCCTGGCGAGTTCCAATGTACCAAATGTGTCCTAATTGGTTTGGCTCAGTGGGCAGAGCGTCAGCCTGCAGACTGAAGGGTCCCAGGTTCGATTCCGGTCAAGGGCATGTACCTTGGTTGCAGGCACATCCCCAGTGGCGGGTGTGCAGGAGGCAGCTGATAGATGTTTCTAGCTCTCTATCCCTCTCCCTTCCTCTCTGTAAAAAAATATCGATAAAATATATTTAAAAAACAAAACAAAGTATGAGATGTTTCAAAGAACCTTCTGGTCCGCGTGTTCTCCTCCCACAATGGGGCGTTCACGACCTCTCCAGCAGTTCCGTCTGGGACAGCGTCCTCCCTGAGCTTGCTGGGGAGATCCTCCCGGCTCCTCACCCCACCAGCCTTCTGGAACCGCAGAGGGAGGGCTGCTCTCGGCACAGGACAGCCGGACCGTTCCGACGCCCTGACCTCACCCAGCCCGGAGGGCAGCCTCCCGGAGCTCAGCTGCAGGCCTGGATGTCTTGAGGTCGCAGCTCTCGCTCACCCTCAGCCAGGAAGACGAGGAGGGCGCGATGCAGCAGGTGCACGCCCAGGCGGCGGCGGCGGGCGGGCGGCCAGCTCGCCACCACTCCGTAGCAGTGTCCTTGTTTCTGGTTGGTCAGTGTCCTGATCCCTGGGGAGATTGGGAGGGAGGTCACGGGCGTAGCCCCCAGCCTCAGTGAATTCCAGGGAGAGAAATGTGACAGTGAACCCACTGTGCATTCCCCTTAAGCAGGGATAAACCCATGGAGCAAAATACGTGCCTATGCAGGTACATCGTTGGTGCTCAATAACGACTCACTGAACAAATGAACAGCCCTGAGAGGGAAGGGGCGAGGGAATTGGTAGAGCAAGTGCCCTTCCTGTGACCCCCCCACCCCCACCCCACAAGCCAGGCACCCACCTAGAGCATCCACAAGACAGGCCTCTCGAGTGTAAGCCTCCACAGCGACCACATGCTGGAAGCAATGCAGGGACACAACACCACGGTCACTGGCCCAGATGTCCAAGATCCGGCGCACTTTGGGACAGGCCTGGGGGGCCGGGACAACGTCAGGGGCCTGCCTCCCAATCCCCTCCTTCCTCTGCCTGCCCTCAGCCTGGCGGTCTCTGCCCTGACCCCGGTGCTTATCCTCAGACCTGTTTTCCTGGCCTCCTGCGGTGGCCAAGGGCCTCCCAGAGGTGCGCATTTGGCCGGGCCCGGGTCCCCTTGCCCACGTAGAAGATGGCGTGGGCGAAAGTCCGGAGGCATTCGGCTGGAGTTAGCGAGGAGGCTCGTGCTGGCAGGTTCCGAGTCTCCCTGGATGAGAAGGCTCGGCTCAAAGAGGGAAACGTGACAAGAGTAGCCCTAGAGCCGAAACCGGTTTGGCTCAGTGGCTAGAGTGTCGGCCTGCGGACTGAAGGGTCCCAGGTTTGATTCCGGTCAAGGGCATGTACCTTGGTTGTGGGCACATCCCTGGTGGGGAGAGTGCAGGAGGCAGCTGATCGATGTTTCTCTCTTGATGTTTCTAACTCTATCCTCCCTTCCTCTCTGTAAAAACTCAATAAAATATTTTAAAAAAAGAGCCGAAACCGGTTTGGCTCAGTGGATAGAGCGTTGGCTTGGGGACTGAAGGGTCCCGGGTTCGATTCCGGTCAAGGGCATGTACCTTGGTTGCGGGCACATCCCCAGTGGGGGGTGTGCAGGAGGCAGCTGATCGATGACTCTCTCTCATTGATGTTTCTAACTTGCTATCTCTCTCCCTTCCTCTCTGTACAAAATCAATAAAATATATTTTTAAAATATATATATATAAAAAAGAAAAAGAAATTAAAAAAAAAAAAAGAGTAACCCTAGAGAAAACCTCTAAGCTCACAGGGTATATACAACCCATGTCCAGAGACCTCCATTTCATAAGGCAGCGCCCAAAGACACTCGGCAGCTTGAATGAGTTCCACCTGCCTTTTCTAGACGAAGCTTAGGACCAGAGAGAGGGGCCAGTTCCCTCCGGAGGACCGTGCAGCATATAGGAACCAAGCCCGGATTTCCAGCTCCCGCTTCCGGTACCTGGGGTCCAGTAGCAGGTACGTGAAACTGGACTTCGCGACCCCCTCCCGCCACCTCCTGCCGGGGTCCGGCTGCTCGAATTGCCGGGCCAGTACGTCCTCATCCGCCTGGGCGTCTGGGATCCGGCCTGTCCTCAGGGCCTCGGTCAGCTCTGGGCTGTGCCCCGAAAAGCCTGGGCCTGGGAGGGGAAACTAGGTCAAGAGAGACAGAGGAAGGGGTGGTTCCCACAGGGGAGGAGGGAAGTGGCACCGGGAGCCGGGGGGAGTCTCGGGGGACCTCCGATGCCCAGAAGGGACTAACCGGGAGCGGCCTGGGCTTCTTGGAGTCGTCGGAGGTAACGCGGGCGGGTGAAGGGTGTGACGGGGCCCGGGCTCTCACCCAGGGCCCGGAGCCTCTGCAGCAGTTCCAGGTCGGACATGCCGGGCGGACACCCGGGAGAGGGGGCTGGGTCCCCGCCACCTGCGGACTGCGCTTCCTCCTCTGTCAGCCAGGGGGCGCCCCGCTCGCCGTCAAGGGACGACTGGTCATCCGTTAGGAAGTGGAAGTCCAGGGGTCCAGGCAGTGGTTCCGGGTCCGGAGAGGGGCTGTGGGCCGGGCTCCTGTCTGAGAGGGACGAGGGGCAGGGGGAGGTCAGAGTCAGGGCCTGCAGAAGGGCCTTTAGTTCGGCCTCCTTGCCCGTCACGATGGCTCCACGTTCCGGCGGTGGCGTGTCCGGAGACTCCAGCACCCTCTGGGACGGTCGGACCTGAGGCAGGAGTTGCTGCCTGGGCAATGGCCCAGCCCAGGGGTACGTCCGTGGGGCTGGATCCTCGGCTCCAGAAGCCTCGACAGCCGTGACAAAGGAGGCATCTGAGCTGCAGTCCCAGCACCCCGGGGAGGACTCCAAGCTGCCATCCCCGTCAGCAGCTTCAGGGCAGGCAAGGCGGCGGGAGGGTCGAGGGCTAGCCTTCGGCTCCGTGTGGCCGCTGTCGCTTCTGCCCAGTCCTGTGCAGTCCAGCGTCTCACTGGGAGGTCCAGAGGCGCTGGCATCCAGGCCCTTTCCCGGGAGGGCTGAGCCTGGAGCAGAGGGTGAGAGCTGGGGTCAGAGAGCAGGGTGGGGGAAGCCGGCGATGGGGGTTGGATCAGCAACAGGTGGCTGGAGTCAGAGGGAAAAGGGAGAATGCGGGAAGGCAGGGAGCGCTGACCAGACACTGGACGTGAGACAGAACCAGCGGTGCAGGTCGGTGAGAGACACGGTAAGCTGGTGTCTCCGCACGGGCCTCACTCACCGCTGGGCCTGGGCTCCGGCTCCTGGGTCTCTGACGGGGTCCGGGGAGGGGTCCTCGCCAGCTCTGGGGGCTCCCGCAGGACGCGCACACAGTCCCGGTGCCCCTGTTGTTCTGCCAGGTCCAGTGGCCGGAGTCCATCCTGCAGCGGCGCCATCAACAGGGGGCGCCCATGCCCTCTTGCTCCCCCTCCTCCCGCTCTCCAGGTCTGCCCTTCGCTCCTCCAGGGCCGCTCACCTGGTCCAGCAGCCGGGGGTCGGCTCCCTGGCTCAGCAGCAGCTCCAGGCTGCGGCTGCAGCCCCAGGCGGCGGCCACGTGCAGCGGAGTCAGCGCCTCGGCCGACCTGGGGCAGGAGGGGAGGCGTGTCCTGTCCCCCCACCTGTCCCCCATCTCTGTCCCCCATCTGTCCCCCATCTCCACCCTCGGCCTGGGGCATACCCGGAATCTAGATCTTAATGCCCTCGGCCTGGGACCCAAATCTCTGCTCTCTGACCCTAGAGATTCTACCTCTGGACCCGAGCGCCACCCCACCCCCTACCCTCATTCTGGGACCCTAGCTCTCGTCCTTGAGCTCTCAGGACCCTTCCCTCCCTCCCCCCGCCCAGTTCCACCAGCTCCTCTCCGGGACTCCGAGGCCACGCCTTCCACCGGGAACCCCCTTTCCCCACGTGGAAGGCCCCGCTCAGGAACCCCGGACCGACCCGACCCGCCTCACCGAGCGTTGGGGTCCCCGCCTCCCCGCAGCAGAGCCCGGAGGCAGCGCAGAGCGCGGGGCCGCCGGGCGCCCGCCGCCAGGTGCACCGCCGCCGCGCCGTCCGCCAGCACCAGGTTGGGGTCCGCGCCGCGGCGCAGCAGCTCCTCCACGGCCCTGCGATCAGGGATCGGGGGGTCAGAGCGGACCCCACCCTCGCCCCCGCCCTGTCCGCCCGCCCCGCCCCGGCCCGTCCTCACCGCAGCTCCTCCTCCCGCAGCGCCGCCCGCAGCCGCCAGGCCAGCTCCGCGGCGCCCATGCCCGCCTGTCACCTCCTGTCAGTTCAAACTTCCCGCGGCGGCCTGTGCGCACGCGCCGCCCCGCCCCGCCCCGGGCTCCGGGCTCAGCACCCGCTGCCCCGGGGGGTGGTACCCGCCAGGCTGCCCCGGCCGCACCTGCATGGCACACGTGGGGATTCGAGCTTCAGTGCCCACCCAGGTCCGCCATCTCGAGTGGTGCTCAGGCAGAGCCTGGAGGGTGGGCCATTTTCTGGCTCAAAACGGGGAAGCGCTGGACACAGCCTGCAGAAGGGGGCGGAGCTACGACCCGGTGACCCGGAGGTGCCCACGGCTGCACAGGCCTCCATGAGCCCGCAAATGTAATGATCAGCTCCCGCCTCTGGCTCTGTGTCACCTGTTTGCAGTCTCGCGGAGCCAGGAGGTCATGCCTTTGGGGCTCTGGGCCTTGGTTTTCCCATCTGCAAAATGGGAGAGTCGCTTCCAGGCTGGTGTGAGGTTGAGTCAGCGTGTTTCATCGCAGGATCCTGGCACGCGGGTGCCCCAGTAAATGCTACGGGAAGGAAAGCTGTTGCTCAGTAAGGCCATTTTAATTTCATATGGAACTGAGAATCTCTATCTGGTCAATTTTTTTCACTGTTGTTCATCATCCAGATAGTTGATTAGTGGACCTGTTGTGCTGGTCTTGTCTCCCTTCTGGGGAGCACCCACACTATTTCCTGGGACCTGTAGTCCTCCCCTTCTCAGGAGAGGCTTGATCCAGGCCTAAACAATCTGAACATCCCAGAGCTCTGGCCCATGACCCAGGCAAGGCCAGCAATAGGGGGTTTGGGTAGTGGTCACAACTGTCAACCAGTCGTCATGGTGCCAATTCAATGCAACAGAAACCCCCAATTTAGGGTGCAGTGAAAGAAGATACTTTATTCAGAGCAAACACCTCAGTATAGAATAGCACAGCCCTTTCTGGCAAATTATTTCAGCTCCAGTTTGAGCCTTTGGTGGAAAAGCATGCACCTTGCCCAGCCATAACGGAAGTTACCAGTATATAGGGAAGCTTCAGCCCCTGACCCTTAATTGGGACGTTCTCATGCAAATTAGTGTCCCAAATCACCAGTTTGGCCCAAAAAGCACTATGGAGTGGAGCTATTCTGATTCATCAAAGATGCTAACACAGCTACGAACCAGGAGGTCACAGTTCAAGCCCCCATCAGAGCATATGCCCGGGGTTGTGAGCGCGATCCCGTGTGGGGCGTGCAGGAGGCAGCCAATTAATGATTCTCATCATTGCTGTTTCTATTTCTCCCTCTCGGAAATCAATAAAAATAACGTATGTTTTAAAGATGCTAACAGAGACTGTAGTTCCTCAGCTCCGATTGGACCGAGGGGTTACCGCCATCCTATTGGTTGAAGAAGGATTCCAGGAATTCCTTTATCAGTTGGCTGCCCCAGCAGGAGCACAGGGCTGGCGGGCAGGCATTTCAGGGCAGAAGGCAGTTTTTCTCCCTGAAGCTGAGCTTGTGTGAGAGGCAAAGGTTCCTTGGCTTTTTTTTGTTTTTTAACATGAGACCAATTAGCCACCAGGAGCCCCTTGGGGTAGGTATTTTCCTTTTTGGGGTTGACACACCATCGCACCCCTTTCCACAGGTTGGGGGAAAAGCAGGAGGTACTCAACACCACACAGAATAGTTCAGCCCACCCCACGGGCGGTGTCTGAACGGCAGGATGGAGTCAGCCTGAGGCTGCGCGTTGGCTTGCCCATCAGAACCAAGCCGTTCATTCCCCTTTCTGTTCACCGGGTGCGTTCCTGTCACCTTCAACCAAGAAGATCCTTATTAACACAAGGCGGCTGGTGTGGACCTTGGCTAGAGACTTCTCGGGTTTTATTCTGATGACAAAAATCACACAGGGGAGAACAAATTACAATTGGCAAACTGTGGGGCTGAAATATGGACGGGGAGTCATGGGTGCCCACAGTCCTGGGATGCCTCCTGGAACAATGGGTTTCCGTCCGGGGCTCCGAAGTGGCAAAGTGCTTTCTTGAAGTCCCCCGGGGGTCCCACCGAGTGGAGTTTGAGAACCAGCACTCTAGGCCAGGGGTTTCACTGTACCAGGCTGGGCTGGTTGCACAGGGAAGGCTCAGACGGTGGCCTCGACCTCAGTGGCCTCCTCCTCCTCCTCCAGCAGGCTGTAGGAGGCGTGGCTCTGGCAGGGCCGTTGCAATGGGTGAGCCAGCAGCTTGGCCATACAGTTGTGCAGCTCCAGGGCTGGCCCGGCCAGTGCCACCTCATACTTGTAGCTGGTGCCCTTGGTGTCCAGGCTGCCCAGGAAGGCGAACATGTCCTGTGAGGCCAGGGAGGGGCTCTTCAAGCAAGGGTTCCCTGACAGGCCTTCCCTGCCCCCGGAGGGCTTCCCGGAGGAGGCGGCACCAGGGGTAGGTTCTGGAGGGTGAAGAGTTTTCCAGGCAGAAAACACCCCTGCATTCAGCAGACACTGCCTGCTACCCACCCCCGTGTCAGGGACACCGACAGGTCTCAGCCTTGGAGCCTCGGAACTAGAGTCAGTTGGATCTAAACTCCCCCCTGGACCCCATACTGTTCTTCCTCGAGGGGCAGGAAGGCTTCCCTCAATAGACACTTTGGGTTTAAATATTGAGGTATGAGTAGGAGCTGGTCTCATGCACCCCCCCGTTCAGTTGGGTAAACTGAGGCTCGGAGAGGTAAGGGGCCCACTTGAAGTCTCACAGCTAGTTAAGGGCTGGGACGGGAATGTCCAGCGGAGTCTGGGTAGCAGGGAGGGAAGGGTGCCCCCAAAAGAGGGCACAGCCAAGGCAAAAACAGGGGGAGAGAGAGAAGCATGCCCCCATCCCAACAGCCCCCTGAGCTCCCAGCAGACCACGTGGAAATGGTTGTCAAATGACCGAACGACCAGGAGCCAGAAGCTGGGATCCCCGAGGCCCGGGGTGGATGGGTTCTGAGACATCCCATCCACCCCCACCTGCCACCCACACCTGCCAGGGCCTCACCTTCCAGCTCATCTCCTCCTCCTTCTCGTCGGCGCCATTGTGGATGTAAACAACGTCGAAGAAGAAATACGGACACTGGAACATTTTCTGCGGGCGAAGAACACCAGCCTCTGAGGCTCAGTCACCCTGTGCCCCGTGACCACAATCCCCCGCTTCCGCCGGAGACTCCGGGAACCTGCCAGGAGGTGCCCAGCCCCGCGCTCAGGAAACCCCTCCCGGTGTCTCACCACCCTCACCCGGGCCCCCGTCACCTTCATGGGCTCCGTCAGGGAGAACTGGGGCTGGCACGGCGGACGGCTGTAGACGAGGATGGTGCGGACCACGTATGGGGGCGGGATCGTCTGCACATTCTCCGTGACTGGCAGCTCGGTCTTCTGCTGACTGCACAGCAAGGGGACAGATGAGAACACGCTTTGGGGGTCCCTCCCATCACCACCTTGGAGAGCTCAGCTCCTTGCTGGGCATGCAAAGCCCCACCAGTGCCCTCCCCAGTTTATTGCTGTCTCTTGAGCCTTCCCACGTGCTGTTCTCTGCCCAGAGCAACCCCCCAGCCTGACCCTCTGCCTGACCCTTCTGTTTGGCTAAACCCAAAGCTGAAGCCCGCTCTGCCCACCCTGAGTGCCCCCCCACCTCCTGGAGCTGGCCCTGCCCTACCAGGCCAGGAAACGCTGAGGAAGGGACCTCATCGTTTATCTAAGTCAAGATACATTTCCCTACGTGGCCACCGCTGGATCTCACAGGCACAGGGCACTAGGCAGAGGGCCAGGTCCTTCCTATGTGAAAAGCAAATCTGGTCCTTCACAAGAACCAGACAGACAAACAGACAAATCACTAAAGGAATACCAAGTGGCTTTAAAATGAATGAAAAAGGGCTCCAAGAAAAGCAATCGCACAGGCAGAGCTCTCAGCAGTATGCTCAATCCTGGGGAACTGAGCGGTTCATTTCGGAGGCAGCACTTTGGCAATGTCTAGCAAAACAGCCCCAACCAAGCATGTCCTCTATCGTGAAGGTGCCTCATGGGTTCACTGGCTGAGATGTTTGTACCAAGTTAACTAAAGGCGACACAAGCCTTGTGCACAGCATCGGGGGCTGGTGAAAATGCAGACCAACTAAGAATGGGTTCTATGTTTTTAAATACCTGGAGGGAGGAAAATCAAATGAATATTTCATGGCGTGTGGAAATGACGTGAAATTCAGTGCTTATCAATAAAATCATCGACACCCTAGAGGCCGGGCACTGGTGGGGTCCCTGGGCCTGGCCTGCGGGGATCGGGCTGAAACCAGCTCTCTGATATCCCCAAAGGGGTCCTGGATTGTGAGAGGGCGGTTCTCTCCGCCCAGACCACCTCCCAGCCTTCCCCAGAACTGGGCTCCCTCCTCTCTGGTTCAGGGTGCATCACCCAGAAACCACAGCTGCCAAGTCACGCAGCTTAGCAGCTCCTGCAGCAAGCATCTGCCCCCTGGTGGTCAGTGCGTGTCATAGCTGCCAGCCAGCCCACTGGTTGCTTAGGCTTTTAGATGGATGGATGGATGGATGGATGGATGGATGGATGGATGGCCACGCCCACTGTGTCCACAGAGTTTGTGGTTGCCTTTGGATTCCTAAGGCAGAGTCAGTTGTTACGATAGAGACCATATGGTCTGCGAAGCCAAACACCTTTGGCTTTTATAGACACAGTACGCAGCCTCCTGGGCTAGAACTGGGTGTGGACGGCCGGGGCCCACCACAGACTCATACAGAGGGTGTGCTCCGGGAAGGAAGGCTTACATGAGGCTGAAGAGGCCTTCCATATCTGGTGGGGACGCTAAGGACACAGGCGGCAGAGCATGGGTGGGAAGGGTGCAGACTTCCCTCATCCTGATGCCTCAGAACCTAGCGCCAGGCGCACGTGCAGGGAGCCTGTGTGTGATCCCACCGCGTGGCCCGAGCCTGGTTTCCTCAGCGGAGATCACAAACGAGGGAGATAGATGCCCTGAAGACCATTGATTCAAAACTCCCCCTTCTCTCAGGCCAGGCCACGTTCCTACAGAGAGCCTCAGGTGTCCCTGTTCCCCTCTCTCAACTCTCCCAGTCTTCTCACAGCGATATTTTAAGTTTGAGCTGCATGTGAGCCTTTCATGTTCAAATTAGCATGAATGTGATGTAGTGCCCTGGCTGGTTTGGCTCAGTGGGTAGTGTCGGCTTACAGACTGAAGGGTCCTGGTCAAGGGCATGTGCCCAGGTTGCAGGCCCGATCCCCAGTAGGGGGTGTGCAGGAGGCAGCCGCTCAATGATTCTCTCTCATCTTGATGTTTCTCTCTCCCCCTCCCCCTTTACCTTCCTCTCTGAAATCAGTAATATACTGTATATGTTTTTAAAATGTGATGTAGCCGAAACCGGTTTGGCTCAGTGGTAGAGCGTCGGTCTGCGGACTGAAAGGTCCCAGGTTCGATTCCGGTCAAGGGCATGTACATTGGTTGCGGGCACATCCCCGGTAGGGGGTGTGCAAGAAGCAGCTGGTCGATGTTTCTCTCTCATCGATGCTTCTAGCTCTCTATCTCTCTCCCTTCCTCTCTGTAAAATATCAGTAAAATATATTTTTAAAAAATAATAAAAATAAATAAATAAAATGTGATGTAGTGGTGACTGATTTTTCAGTCACATATTGCCATTTTTTGAGCAAATGGCACCAGAAGTATAATTGCCCCTATATGGAGTGCTCCCCCTGTGGGTACAGTTTTGACATCCAGAGTCCAAATCAGCTGGTTTTGCTTCTGTGTATGACCCCGGGGCTAAGAGGGTTCCTGCCTCCCGTTTTACAGATGAAGAACTGAGAGTCTGGGGAGCATTTAAGATTTTGCTTCCTGGCACTGTCATCAGTCTGACTCAAATAAACTACTTTTTTGTGTTGTTACTCCTCAATGAAAATATTTTCCCATTGATTTTAGAGAGAGTGGAAGAGAGAGGGAAAGACAGAAACATCAATGTAAGAGAAACACATTGATTGGTTCCCTCCTGCATGTGCCCCGACCAGGGTCCGGGCCAGGGAAGAGCCTGCAACCAAGGATACTTGCCCTTGACTGGAATCAAACCCAGGGCTCTTTGGTCTGCAGGCTGATGCTCTATCCACTGAGCCAAACTGGCTAGGGCTCTTTTTCTTTTTTAAATCCTCACCCAAGAAGTGAGGATATTTTTTATTTTAGAGAGTAGGAGAGAGGGGGGGAGAGAGAGAGAGAGGGAGAAACATTGATGTGCCACAGACACATCGATTGATTGCTTCCCATGTGCCCTGACCAGGGGTGGGGATCAGAACTGCAACCCAGGTCCATGCCCTTGACTGTAACCTAACCCACAATCCTCCAATGCACAGGCCGGTGCTCTAACCATTGAGCACACTGGCCAGGGCTCAAAAGAAACTGAAAGCCAGAGGGGTGACTGGCCCGAGCCTGCTGCGGCAGAGCTGAGCTGTCAACCTGAGCCAGTGTGAGTTGGCTCCCTCCAAGCTCAGGCTTCCTGGGTTCTGGGTACAAGACAGGCCAGACCCCACCCCACCCCACCCCCTGCCCCGGAGGTGCCGCTGCCGGGAAGGATACTGAAGTTGGAGCAGGAGGCCGTCTCTAGGTCATAGAGGCAGCTGCAGAGCTCACGGGGGTCAGAGGTCAGTCCAGACAGCTGTGGGGAAACACAGATCTCAGGAAAGTGGTCTCTGCCCCCAGGGGACCCCAGGGCACCCAGCCTTGTCCCTGTCCCCAGGGGACCCCAGGGGGCCCCAGCCTCACCCAGGCGGTGTCATCGTTTACCACCACCAGTGCAAACTCGTGGCTTTTGTCAATCTTGTGTTTTGTCCGCACGAACATCTCAATCATCTTCTGGGAGACATTGAGAGCGTTGGTTTTGGAGCTGGAGAGGGATGGAGAATGAGGGGGTGGCTAAGGGAGGCCTCCAGGCCTGGGGGCGAGGCCTATCCCCTCACCTGTCCGTCCCGGGGAACCTCCCACCAGCCTTACGAGGCCCTGGCCCACGTCACACAGCAGGGGGTGGCAGGGTCCAGTTGTAAACCTAACCCAGCTGACCTGCCCTCTCCAAATGGGTCCCTCTGACCAGCCTGTGGTCTCACATCTGATCCTTGTGAGGCGGCCCCAGTCCACTGCTCAGCCACAAGCGGTCGGGGAGACATGCTTGTCCTCAGTATCCCCCACAGCCCCTCAGACCCTCTCTAGGTTCTGCTGCTCAACCCCACAGCCCCGGCCGCTCAGGGCAAGGGCTTTGGGGTTAGCTAAGCATGAGTCTGAATTCTTGCTCTGCCTTTTTGCTATGAGGTCTTAGGCAAGTTACTTTATTTCTCTGAGTTTCCAAGTCATTGCTACGATGTTGATTTTAAAGGGTGGAAGGGGGCGGGGAGGAGAGAGAGAAAAACATGGATGTGCCACAGACACAGCGATTCGTTGTTTGGTACCTCTCACCTGCTTGGAACAGAGCCTGAGGGGCCACTGCGCTATCATTACTAATTCCTGTCGCTATGTTCTGATACCGCCAGGCCCCGAGCCAGGCCACAATGGTGTGAGTCTGAGAGAGAGCCCTGTGCTTTTCAGGCTGGGCCCCTCCAAGTGGTAGCTACACATTCACACCCTAAAATGTCCCTCTCACCCGTTGAACGACTCCAGTTTTGGCAGTGACATCTCCTCCGACAGGTCCAGGCAGATGATCTGCAATGAAGACGGAAGGTGGTGAAGGCACTGTGACTGGCAGCGCCTGGCGCCGGGATGTTAGCACCGGACCACACATGCGTGGCACTCTTTAAGCAGACCTGTCTGAAAAGACGGTAAGATGACCCCCAACTTCCAGTGAAGCTTTGGAAATTGGTGGTTCAGGGAAAAGAGCACTGGACTAGAAGTCCAGATTAATAAATGAGAATATGTGATACAGAAACAAGGAAAGAAGGGCAGAGTGGGTTGAACTGTGGCCCCCAGAAGATATGTTTGCCTAGAACCTCAGATGTGACTTTACTTAGAATGAGAGTCCTTAATGATGTGATTAAAATAAAGAAATTGAGCTGAAACCGGTTTGGCTCAGTGGATAGAGCGTCGGCCTGCGGACTGAAAGGTCCCAGGTTCAATTCCGGTCAAGGGCATGTACCTTGGTTGTGGGCACATCTTCAGTGCAGGGTGTACAGGAGGCAGCTGATTGATGTTTCTCTCTCATCGATGTTTCTAACTCTCTATCCCTCTTCCTTCCTCTCTGTAAAAAAAAAAACAATAAAATATATATATTTTAAAATAAAGAAATTGAGATAAGATCATCTGACCCGATGACAAGTATCCTCATGATAGCCAGAGGAGACACAAAGACAGAGAGGGGAGGGTCATGTGAAAACAGACGGAGGTTGAGGTGATCAGCTGCAGCCAAGGATGCCTGGAGCCACCCAAAGCTGAAAGGGTAAGGAGAGATCCTCTCCTAGAGCCTCCGGAGAAAATGGGGCCCTGCTAACATCTTGATTTCAGACTTCTGGTTTCTAGGACTGTCAGAGAACAAACGTGTTTTTTCAGCCTCCCAGCGTACTGTAATTTGTCGTGGCAGCCCCAGGAAACTAATACAAAAGGGCTGTTTGCAGAGTGAGTCCCAAAAGGCAAGTATGTCAGCCCAAGGTTCCCCAAAGCCTCAGAGCTTACGGCCAAATTCCCACTTACCACCTTCTCTGGACAGTTGACCCTTGGTGTCCGCACCTGGACCTCAGGGGCTGGTGGAGGCACCTGCCAGGGCTTGGGGCCAGCTCCCAGAGCATTCGTGGTCCCATCATCAGCACTGGCCGCCTCACCCTCACCCTCACTTCGGCTTCCCACACTGGTCTGGGCCCCCAGTGCCCGGTCCTCAGCCCCCTCCGGGTTGGAGCGTGTCCGGGGCCTTGGCTCCACTGACTGCTCTTCCTCCTCCTCCTCCTCTTCTTCCTCGGTGGGGCTGCTGGGCTCTGCCACCTCCATGGCTCCTGAGTGGCTGGATGAAGCAGGGATGGGGGAAGCCAGAATTCTGCCCTTAGGAGTTTCAGAAACATTTGGTTACCCAGGAGAACAAGGCACTTGCTGCTTACCAACTATGAGTCACTTCTCTCAGGGCCTCAGCTTCCTCATCTGTAGAATGCGTGCCTTTACACTTATCAGCCAAGCATCCACTCTGACTTAAGGTGATAGCCTCCATTGTTTTCTGTAGTGAAAACAACTACAAAGCCAGTGAACACAACTGGCTACTGTGAATGGCTCAGAAATGGGGACATGACCGAATACAGGCCGGTGAGGGGCAGCTCTGAGACTTACAACACTGCCAATAGGGGAACGGGGCTCCTTAGAGTTGCAGAGCTTGGGAGACACAAGTCAAGAGTTGCTAGGAGCCTCTTTACCCTCCAAGAGAGGAAAGAGCCTACCTGAGTGATGCTCACCTGGAGAACAGCGGACAGGATTCTGATCACCTGGAACCAGTCTATAAGCCACTAATTCCCCTTTCTCGCTGCAGATAGATTGAGTTGGGTTTTCAGTAACCTGAAACTGAAAACGTCTTGGTAAATAAAGGAATAACAACCTCTAGGATCCTCCCCAGTGGACGCTGGGCTGCCTAGGGGGTGTCTGTCCCTGGGGTGTCTGCACAAGGGAGGGGCGGGGATCTGGGTGCTACAGATCCCTCTGAGGAAAGACAGGTCGCCGATGGGACAGCCTGCCTATTTGGACAATGGGTGCGGGCTGCCCAGGATGGTCTCTGGGCGCCCTGCAGCCCCACAACCTCAAAGGAACTGGCTGTAGCTAGAGGGATGGAGGCTAGGCTGCAGGAGGAACCAGAGCCGGAAACGGAAGCTTCAGACGAGGCAGGGGCTAGATCTCGAGGGCTCCGGGAGCTGGGCCTCGAGTAACGAGACCTACACGCTTTCAGCACCCACTTCTGCTCACCGTAGTCTAAGCCTCCCTCCGACTGGGCTGCCGACTCGCTAGAAAGCCGCCATCTTCGCAGCCGGACATGGTGCGGAACGGCCGCGACGCCTCCTGGGAAATGTAGTTCGGCGGCTGCAGGACGCGAGGAACGGTGCACTGGGCCCGGCTGAAGGGTCTTGGAAGCTGATAGGCTGGATTGGGAGGTGACGAAGGGACGAAGTAGGCGGGACCTTGAATACGATTGGCTAAAAGCAAAAACGAGGCAGAGGTTTTATTTATGCGGAATCAGACTTCGTCGGTCAGCGGTTCTAGGCGCTAGGCCGGGATGAGCCGGAGGACAGTGGGCTTTCATGGCCCAGGCACAGAGGGATGCAGAAGGCCTAGTCTGCAATGTAAAAGGCGGAGTGGGACAGGAGTTATTTATTTTGGGGAGGCCGGATTTAGAAAAGGTGCGGCTGATTTGTGGGTGAGGGGCGGGGTTTTGCGGACTGATGTGGGCGTGGCGCAGGCCCAAGGCCCCTCCCAATAACTTAATTCTTCTTATTTATATATATTTGCAAAAATAAAAAATACTAAGCCAGAAGACTGACTGGAGTGAACACACAATACAATATACAGATGATGTATTGTAGAATTGTACACCTGAAACCTATATAATTTTATTAACCAATGTCACCCCCATAAATTCAATTCAAAAAATTAAAAAATAATCCGGAACTATTTCAAACCACCCTTCCTTTTTCATGCACACTTCTTCCCTTAATCCCAAAACTATTTAAAATCTACTCTGAGCCCTAGCTGGTTTGGCTCAGTGACTGGAGCGTCGGCCTGCGGACTGAAGGGTCCCAGGTTTGATTTCGGCCAGGGGCACATCCCCAGTAAGGGGTGTGCGGGAGGCAGCTGATTGATGTTTCTCTCTCATCAATGTTTCTAACTCTCTCCCTTCCTCTCTGTAAAAATAAAATATATTAAAATTTAATTAATTAATTAATTAATTAATTAAAATCTCTGACTTTTTCGCAAAGGGTTTACCATCAAAACACAAGTTTCACGAAAACCACTGCTAAATCTAAGCCAAATGAGGGACCGGTTTGGCTCAATGGATAGAGCGTCGGCTTGGGGACTGAAAGGTCCCGGGTTCGATTCCGGTCAAGGGCATGAACTTTGGCTGCGGGCACATCCCCAGTGGGGGGCGTGCAAGAGGCAGCTGGTTGATGTTTCTCTCTCATCGACGTTTCTAGCTCTCTATCCCCCTCCCTTCCTCTCTGTGAAAAATCAATAAAATATATTTAAAACCGGGGAAAAAAAAAACAAAAAAAAACCATGATTACATGCCCTAGTCGGTTTGGCTAAGTGGATAGAGTCTCTGCCTATGAACTGAAAGGTCCCTGGTTTAATTCTGGTCAAGGCTTCACATGGCTAGGTTTCAGGCTCAATTCCCAGTAGGGGGCGTGCAGGAGGCATCATTGATATTTCTATCTTTCTCTCCCTTCCTCTCTGAAATCAATAAAACAATATTAAAAACAAACAAACATGTTTACAGGCACATCTCAGGCTGACTCTGCTGTTCTGATTATTGCTGCTGGTGTTAGTGAATTTTACACCGATATCTCCACGAATGGGCAAGCCTGTGAGCATGCCCTTCTGGCTTACACATTGGGGAAATCAATTTAAAAAAAATACTTTTAAAAAAAGAATGTATCTGTCCAAGGGAAAATGGGGTACATCTGTAATGTGGTCAACACTAAATATATACATTTTTCATGATTAATGTTCTTTATTTTCTTTTTGTAAAAAAAATATTTATTGTTGAAAGTATTACACATGTCCTTTTTTCTTCCACTGACCCCTTGTAGCTCATCCCCGCTTCCCACCCAGACCTTCACCATCCTATTGTCTATGTCCATGGGTTATGCATATATGCATACAAGTTCTTTGGTTGATCTCTAAAAACAACATATTTTCCCCCCAAAAGAATGTGTCTGCTCAACTGGTGTGTCTCAGTGGTCGAGCTTTAACCTATGAACCAGGAGGTCACGGTTTGATTTCAGGTCAGGGCACATGCCAGGGTTGTCGTCTCAATCCCCATCAATGATTCTCTCTCATTATTGATGTTTTTATCTCTCTCCCTTTCCCTTCCTCTCTGAAATAAATAAATATATATATTAGAGGCCCGGTGCACAAAATTCGTGCATAGGGGTGGGGTGGGGTGTCCCTCAGCCCAGCCTGCACCCTCTCCAATCTGGACTCCCTTGAGGGATGTGTGACTGCCTCTCACAATCCAGGACTGCTGGCTCCCAACTGCTCCCCTGCCTGCCTTCTGATTGCCCCTAACCACTTCTGCCTGCCAGTCTGATCACCCCCTAACTACTCCCATGCCAGCCTGATTTATACTTAATGCTCCCCTGCCAGCCTGTTTGCCCCCAACTTTTCTCCTCTGCCTTCCTAGTCACCCCTAACTGCCCTCCTCTGCAGGGTTGATTTCCTCCAACTGCCCTCCCCTGCTGGCCATCTTGTGGTGGCCATCTGTGTCCACATAGGGGCAGGATCTTTGACCACATGGGGGCAGCCATCTTGTGTGTTAGAGTGATGGTCAGTCTGCATATTACTCTTTTATTAGATAGGAGATATATATATTGTGTCTGTCAAAGGTGTTCATCATGGCGTTATAGCTGGTGACAGTAAAAATGAACCACCAAAAGAAGCAGCTGGCCTCACCACTCAGATGATTGTCTTGAACCATCCAGGCCAAATCAGTGCCAGGTTGTTACACAGCTCACATCGCTTGCAAATTTGCTGAGAAGGAAAAGATTGATCGTCGTTCTGGGAGAAAGCTGAAAGATGACCCAAAGTTTTTGAAATCTGATGATACTGTCATTGTTGATGTGGTTCCTGACAAGCCCATACACTATATGTTAGGAGCTTCTGTAACTGTCCTCCTCTGGGTCATCTCACTGTTTGTGACATGAGTTGATCAGTTCCTGGGTGTCATCACAGCCATGGGCAAAAGCCTTGACCCAACAGCTCGGTTGTTAGAGTGTCGTTCCGAAATGCCAAGGTCGTGGGTTCGTTCTGTGGTCAGAGGACACACAAAGATCAAGCAATGAATGTACCAATAATGGAACAACAAATAGATGTTTCTCTCTCTCTTTCTCAAATCAGTAAATAAAAAACTTTTTTTAAAGTACAGGACAAAGAGGCAGCTGGAGCTGGTAAAGTCACCAAGTCTAACCCAGAAAGCTCAGAAGGCTGAATGAATATTATCCCTAATAACTGCCACCCCAGTGGTGGAAAAACGGTCTCAGAACTGTCTGTTTTAATTGCCCATTTAAGTTTGTTTTTTTAAAAGTCATCACCCAGCCCTAACCGGTTTGGCTCAGTGGACAGAGCGTCAGCCTGCGGACTGAAAGGTCCCAGGTTTGATTCCGGTCAAGGGCATGTACCTTGGTTGCGGGCACATCTCCAGTAGGGGGTGTGCAAGAGGCAGCTGATCGATGACTCTCATCGATGTTTCTAACTCTCTATCCCCTTCCCTTCCTCTCTGTAAAAAATCAATAAGATATATATTTTTAAAAAGCAGAGTGCTTTAAAAAAAATCCTCAGCCAAGTATATATTTTTTTCATTAATTTTTAGAGAGCGTGGAAAGGAGGGAGAGAAAGAGGGAAAACGAGAGAGAGAAACATCAATGTGAGAGGGATTCATTAAGTGATTGCCTTCTTCATGGGGCTGAGGGTCACACTTGCAACCCAGGTACATGCCTTCACCAGGAATCGAACTTGAGACACTTTGATCCTCAGGCCAGTGCTCTAACCACTGAGTGCACCAGCCAGGGCTAGCTACATTATTAGTTTTTAAAACCAGATTATTTGTGGTTTAAAAAAAAAAAAAAATATATATATATAAATATATATATATAACTTATATATATATATAATTTATATATATAAATTTTTCAAAGAGAGAGGGATAGAGAGTTAGAAACATAGGTGAGAGAGAAACATCGATCAGCTGCCTCCTGCACACCCCCCACTGGAGATGTGCTCGAAACCAAGGTACATGCCCTTGCCCGGAATCGAACCTGGGACCCTTTAGTCCACAGGCCGACGCTCTATCCACTGAGCCAAACCGGTTTTGGCTGCAGGTATAATTTTTAAGGGCTTTGAATGCCAGGTTGAAGAGCTTGAAATGTTTCCCGAGGGATTGAGGAGCCAAGGAGGGTGTGTGGACAGGGAATTGAATAACCAGATCTCCGGTCTCTGGGGCCTTGGGTGGGGAAGGGAGTGGACAGGGGTGAGGGGCTGAGGAACTCAGAGCCGGGGCTGGGCTGACATCAAGGTGGGACAAGGGAGGCTTGGGCTGTAATTATGGGTGAAGACAAGAAAGCCCGTTAGAGTGGATGCAGGGAGAATGGGCGGGGTGTAAGGACCATGTAGCTCTGAGGAATTCAGCATTTTTGTAGGAGAAACAGCAGCTGGCAGAGGAAGCAGAGATGGGACTGGCGATAGAGCACTAGGAGAGGTGATAGGGAACAAGGAGTGCACGTGGTGCCCGGGTAGTGTGGCTCAGTGGTGGAGCATTGACCTATGAACTAGAAGGTCATGGTTGCCTTGACCGGCTTGCAGGCTCTTTCCCCAGTAGGGAGCGCTCAGGAGGCAGCTGATCAATGATTCTTTTTCATCATTGATGCTTCTGTCTCTCTCTCTCTCTCTCTCCCTTCCTCTTTGAAATTAAACAAACAAACAAACAACAAAAAAAAAAGTGTGTGTTGTGATTCATTTCCCTGATGGTGTCTGGCCACATGCAAATTGCCTGTTAAATAAAACTCCATGACACTGTGGGTGAATGCTCTCTTTAGTCCCCATTTTACAGATAAGGAAGTTGAGGCTCGGAGGTGGAAGAGCCGTGGCCTTGGAGGCTGAGGTGAGGAGGGCCACGTGTCCTCTGCTGGGACTGGAGGAAGGCATTGTCCTTGAAAAGGAAACTGAACAATAACAAGTCATGTGACCAGGGGAGGGGGCTTCCTGTTTCTCAGGCCTCCCAGGCTGGCCTGAGCGGGCAGTGGCCAGTGACCCCAGGAGTGTCCAGGGACTCAGGCCTCTGACAAGGAGCTCCCGAAAGGAACAGAGAAGTGGAGTGGGCTGAAGGGACCCAACCCCAGGATTGGGTCCTCCGGTGAGGGAGGGCACTGGGGAGGAGAGAGGATTCTTTTTTTAAAAAATTATTATTAAAGAGAGGACTCTTGACGTGCTCCTCCTAGGCCCAGAGAGAGGAGGGAGGGGAGCACCAAGGCAGTGAAAAATAAAGGAGGCAGAAGAGAAGGGAGTGGACAGGGCAATCTTGGTAGGTAGTGAGCTGTCTGTCCACCGAGGCATTGAAACGTGCGATATCAACACTGATTACTCAAGACTCCTCCTGGAGGGGAGAAATCAATGCCTGCTTCACAGAAGAGGAAACTGAGGCTGTTATTTGCCAGGAGCTGAGACCGGGCTGTGGTTTCAGCGGGGGACAAGGGAGGGCTTTCAGAAGACACTGGTTTGTGGACAGCGATGAGCGCCCGGGCCACGCGGCCCCGAAGCCGGCGAGGGAGGCATGCCCCACCCGTAAGTGTCCCCGCTCCTGCCCCAGCCAGCTCGGCGGGACCCCTTGCAGGGAGCTCAGAGCCCCGATGGTCACCGGCAGGTTGAGCTGGACCCTGTGGCTGAGAGCTCAGAGGAGGCCGAGGCAGCCAGCGGAAGCTCTGAGCCAGGCCCCGTGCCATCCCAGGAGAGCGGCAAGCCTGAGCTGCCGGGCCCTGAGGCCGAGGAGCGTGGGCAAGGCCTGAGGAGCAGGTAAGGCCTGCTCGGTCTGCGCCTCCCCCTCCAGCTCTTTCCCACCCATCGCTCTGCTCTTGCCCCCTGCCTCCACCCCGGCTCCCTATGGCCTGCCTCTGCCTGATTCTTAAGGCCCTGCATAATGCATGGCCAGTGTTCACCCACCACCCCTGTGCGCCAGATACCCCAGACATTTCCATTTCCAGAAACTTCCGTCACTCACTTCGCAGAACCGACAAGGAGGCCAATGTGGACTCTAGCAGGGGGCTGGCCCCGGCCCCCGATGGGCCCCAGGAGCCTGCAGAAGCAGCCCACTGTGCCCCCGAGGCCGAGGAGACTGTCCCCTCTGGGCCTGGGGCCCCCGACGTGTTCCAGACACTCCAGCACGCTGTGAGCTCGCTGGAGGCTGCCGCCGCCGCCTGGCGCCGCCAGCCCCTGAGCTGTCCCGGGCCGATGGAGATGGAGGGCAGAGTCCAGGGGGAACCCAGGCCCTGCCCGGAGCTGGAGGGGGCAGGGGGCTGCCAGCGGGAGGCAGCCCACCTGGCGGAAAGGAACGCCTGGCTGCGTTTGGCCCTGGGCAGCCGGGAGGACGAGCTGATCCACATGCAGGCCTCCCTGGAGGCCCTCCAGGGGGAGAAGGAGACGCTGCAGAGGGAGGTGAGTGGGCGTCCCTGCCTCCCAGGGTCGATGTCTGAGGAAGGAGGCAGCCTGGCATAGGGGGGCTCAATCATTTGTTCATTGGAAAAACATATGCAGCCGAAACCGGTTTGGCTCAGTGGTAGAGCATCGGTCTGCGGACTGAAGGGTCCCAGATTCGATTCCGGTCAGGGGCATGTACATTGGTTGCGGGCACATCCCCGGTAGCGGGTGTGCAAGAGGCAGCTGGTCGATGTTTCTCTCTCATCGACGTTTCTAGCTCTCTGTCTCTCTTCCTTCCTCTCTGTAAAAAAATCAATAAAATATATTTTAAAAAATAAAAAAGGAAAAACGTATGCAGCATCGACTGCTCAGCCCCCAAAGACACAGGTCCCTTGCAATCTTCCTTTTTGATTTTAATATATATATATAATTGATTTTAGAGAGGGAGAGGGATAAAGATATAGAAATATCAATGATGAATGAGAATCATTGATTAGCTGCCTATTACTCATCCACTACTGGGGATCAAGCCCACAATCCAGGCATGTGCCCTTGACCAGAATCAGACCTGCGACCCTTCAGTCTGCAGGCTGACGCTCTATCCACTGAGCAAAACCAGCTAGGGCATCTTAATTAAGGCAAATACTTAAAACAGGAGTGTGGAACCTTTTTTCTGCCAAGGGTCATTTGGATATGTATGCCATCATTCACAGGCCGTACAAAAGTATCAACTTAAAAATTAATCTGCTAGCCGAGACCGGTTTGGCTCAGTGGATAGAGTGTCGGCCTGCGGACTGAAGGGTCCCGGGTTCGATTCCGGTCAAGGGCGTGTACCTTGGCTGTGGGCACATCCCCAGTGGGGGGTGTGCAGGAGGCAGCTGATCGATGTTTCTCTCTCATTGATGTTTCTGGCTCTCTATCCCTCTCTCTTCCTCTCTGTAAAAATCAATAAAATATATTAAAAAAATTTAACCTACTATTTGGTCAAACATTTCATTAACTCACCCCTAATGCCTTAGCGGAGCCAGAGCAAATAAAGTTCCCCACCCCTGCTGTAGGAGGTGCCACTTGAATAAGGACCACGTGGGGGTGAGGGAGGGGCCATGCAAAGATCTGCTCAGAGGTCATGCCAAGCAGAGAGAACAGCATGTGCAAAGGCCCTGAGGTGGGAGTGCGCTTGGCCAGTGTGAGGAGCAGTGAGAGGCCAGTGTGAGGTTGTGGGAGGAGATGAGAGCAGAGAGGTGACGGGGCGGTTCCTGCAGAGCCCTGTGGCCCGAATGAAGGAGCTGAGTTTTTGCTCTGAGGGAAAGGGGAGCCAGGGAGGTTACTGAGCGGGGAGGGTGGCCACTGACCCAGGTGTTCACAGGCCACCCCTCGGCTTAGTGAGAGGAACAGCATGGGGAGCAAGGGTGAAATCCTGGAGACACAGGGAGAGGCACCAGCCAGACACCAGAAGGGGGAAGCTGTGGAGGTGGTTGATGATGCTGAATTCGGAGCTGGCCAGTTTGGGCGTAAAGGCTGGAGGCCCTCTCAGCATGTGGATTGAAGCCACATGGGTGACAGCAGTGGTGGGGAGCAGGCATCATCGACAGCTGGCAAGACTGGGACTTGGGGAACCCCGAGCAAAGGATAGGGCCCATTCCCTGTCAGAGTAGGGCCCATTCCCCAACTGGAAAAGAGAACTTTGTTTGTTTTTATTTACTTTATTTAAAAAATTTTATTTATTGATGAGAGAGAGAAGGAGAAACACCTGTTAGTTCCACTTATTTATGCACTAAAGGCCTGATGCATGAAATTCGTGCAAGGGGTTTGGCCCTCACAGCCCCGACTTTGTCAGGAAGGTCCTTTGGAAGGTTGTTCGGCTGTCCGGTCTAATTAGCATATTACACTTTTATTATGATAGATTAATTGGTTGATTCTTGTAGGTGCCCTGACTAGGAATCAAACTCTCAACCTTGGCATTTCAGAACCAACTAAATTACTGAACCAGGGCATATCTATTCATTTTTAAAATAAGCATTCTTTAAAATATATATAGATAATTGATTTCAGAGAGTAAGGAACAGAGAGAGAGAAATAGAGAAACATCAATGATGAGAGAGAATCATTGATTGGCTGCCTCCTGCATGCCCCACACTGGGGATCAAGCCCACAACCCAGGAATGTGCCCTGACTGGGAATCGAACCGTGACCTCCTGGTTCCTAGCTGGATGCTCAATCACTGAGCCACGCTGGCCAGACTAAAGTTTATTTTTAAAATATATTTTTATTGATTTTAGAGAGAGGAAGAGACGGAGAGAGAGACAGAAACATCGATGAGAACCATTGATTAGCTGCTTCCTGCAGGCCCCACACTGGGGATTGAGCCCAAAACCCAGGCATGCACCTTGACCCGGATTTCCTGGCTCATGGGTGGATGCTCAACCTCTGAGTCACATTGGCTGGGAAATTCTTATTTTTTTTTGAGGAACCTCCATACTGCTTATAATCCCAATAGTGCACCAACCAGGATTCCCTTTTCTCCACATCCTCACCAACACTTATTTCTTATCTTTTTTTTTTTATAATGAATTTTTTTTTTATTGATTTTTTACAGAGAGGAGGAGAGAGGGATAGAGAGCTAGAAACGTCGAAGAGAGAGAAACACCAACCAGCTGCCTCTTGCACACCCCCTACTGGGGATGTGCCCGCAACCAATGTACATGCCCTTGACCGGAATCGAACCTGGGACCTTTCAGTCCGCAGACCGACGCTCTACCGCTGAGCCAAACCGGTTTCGGCAACATTTATTTCATATATATATATATATATATATATATATATATATTTAAATATTTCTATTGATTTCAGAGAAGAAGGAAGAGGAAGAAAGGGATAGAAACATCAATGATGAGAGAAAATCACCGAACAGCCGCCTCTTGCAAGCCCCTGCACTGGGGATCGAGTCCACAACCCAAGCACGTGCCCCTGACCAGAATTGAACCCAGGACCCCTCAGTCCATAGGCTGATGCTCCATCCACTGAGAAAAACCGGCCAGGGCAGCATTATTTTGAGAAAGAGAGAGATATATATATATTAGCTGCTTCCAGCACATACTCCAACTGGGGATCAAACCTGCAACCTGGATATGTGCTCTGACTGAAAATCAAACCAGCAAGACGATGTTTAACTAACCACTGGCTTTTTTTAATTTTAAAAGTTTTAATTGATTTTAGAGAGGAGGGGGGAGAAATATATAGAGATAAACATCTATTTATTGTTACACTTATTTACACATTCATTGGTTGATTCTTATAGGTACTCTGACTGGGGATCAAAACCCCAACATTGGTGGATTGGGACAACACTAATCAATTGAGCTACCTGGCCAGGGCTGGCTCTTGTTTTTTTTAAAAAACAAAACAAAACGCTCAGTGGATAGAGCGTTGGCCTGCGGACTGAAAGGTCCCGAGTTTGATTCTGGTCAAGGGCATGTACCTTGGTTGCAGGCACATCCCCAGTGTGGGGTATGCAGGAGACAGCTGATCGATGTTTCTCTCATCGATGTTTCTGACTATCCATCTCTCTTCCTCTCTTTAAAAAAAAAATCAATAAAATATATTTAAAGAAACATATTGATTTTTAGAGAGAGAGAAACATTGCTGTGAGAGCTGAACATCCATCGACTGCCTCCTACATGCCCCTAGCCAGGGATCCAGATCAGCATCCCACACCAGCCAGGTCATGCCTTGTCTTCTTTATAATAGACATCCTGACTGGTGTGAGGTTATTCTCATTGTAGGTTTGATAGCATTTCCCTGATGGTTAGTGATGTTGAGCACCTTTCCATGTACCTGTTGGCTATCTGTATGTCTAAAGAAAGAGAAGTCTTGGTTGGCTAAGTTGCCTAAGGCTATACAGTGAGGAATTTGGTGCAGTGAGTATCTGGGGTTCCTGTCACTGCCCCAAGAACAGGTGGGCATTTGGGGCCCCCAGGCCTGACATTCCCCTTAACCCCGCCAGGTCCAGGAGCTGCAGGATTCCCTGCTGAGGCTGGAGTCCTTGCCACCTCCCTCCCACAGCCAAGTGGGTGGCTTGGGCAGCAGTTCCAGCAGTTCTGGGACCGTCAGGGAATCCTGGACCACTCAGGTAAGTGTAGGAAGCTCAAAGCCACTTATTTGAGATCCTTAGGGCTTGGGGCAGTGAGACCCAAACCTGGCCATGTGATCCAACAGCTTCTGGGGTTGGAAAAGCTTAAACCTATTGTACGAAGCTCTTAAGGACAATCTGGGTGAATCAAATCCCCTCTTGCTGGCAGGATCCCTTCTCCCTGTCTCACCCCCTGCTCCGGCGCATCCAGAGTGATTCCAGTGCCCAGATCCTCGGGCCTCTCCCCAACCGGCCCCTCACTCCTGAGATGCACATTGTGGAAGCTCAGACGGAGCAGCTCCAGGGGTAAGAGACACAAATGACACAATGTTGAGTTCTTAAGGGCACCTGCACCTGCTTTGCTAGGATATAAACTCAAGAGTCTGGAGCTGAAATGGGGGTGAGGGTGGGGGAGAGAATGGAAATCTATCAGATCCTGACTGCCCTGTGAGGCATCTCATTTTTTTTTTTTTCTTCCCCGTCTTTGGAGGTAGAAGCATCGAGAAGCTCAAATGTTTTAACCGTCTGCTGTCAGCTGTGCTCCAGGGATACAAGGGCCAGTGTGAGGGCCTCAGCATGCAGCTAGGCCAGTGGGAGGCTGAGGCCACAGCACTGCGTCTGGCCTTGCAGTACAGGTCAGTGCTTCCCGCCCATGTTGTCAATGGCTGGGAAGAGAATGGGTGCGTTTAGAAGAAGGCCCTGATCCACAAAGAGAGGCAGGACCCCTTCAGGAAAGCACTTTCCCCCACCATGGAAATTAACTGAAGGCAATTTAATTTTTAAAAAATATATTTTATTGATTTTTGTACAGAGAGGAAGGGAGAGAGATAGTTAGAAACATCAATGAGAGAGAGTCATTGATCAGCTGCCTCTTGCACACCCCCTACTGGGGATATGCCCGAAACCAAGGTACATGCCCTTGACCGGAATCGAACCCGGGGCTCTTCAGTCCCCAAGCCGACGCTCTATCCATTGAGCCAAACCGGTCCGGCCTGAAGGCAATTTTAGTCCAAGGATGCTGGCGAGGTTCACATGCCCTTTGGGGGGGGGGGGGGTCAGGGAGAAATGAGAGACCCAGGAGGAAGTGAAAACACCCCTTACACAGAAAGATGGGGCTGGGTGTCCCAGAGCACTCAGAACTGCTGTCCCACAGTGAGCATTGTGAGGAAGTGTACGGAGTCCTGCTCACTCTCCGGAAGGCAAGCTCAGGAGCAGAAGTCCCCAGGAGCGATGTGGAGGCAGCCGAGAAGGAGGCTCAGAGGCTGCTGGCTCAAGAGGAGGCTGTCATGGATGGAGAGGCACTGTGGGATCCCCAGCCAAGGTACTCCTGGGAACCCCTGGAACTGGGCAAGCTAGTAAATGGGCTCCTGTTGAGAGTGGGGCTGGCTCCCGGAGCTGACTCTGTGGAGCCCTGACTGGAATCGGCTGGCTGCTAATCAATACATTTGTCATGGTAGTTGACAGTCATGGGGGTTGGCATGGAGATAGATGCCCACGGATTATAACTGGCATGACAGTGCTTTATCAGGTTGGCATGCTGCCAAACAGGGATGGCATGCTGAGGGGTGATGTCTGTTGCGTTGGTGTCCACCATATTGGAATGAGCAATGGTCCCCATTGATGTGACAGCGTCACTACGTTGCCTTGATGGATAACGGAACCCATTGGGGTTTCCATTGTAGGGCACACCGTGTTCGTATGACAGTGCCCCCCACTGATGGCATATGATTCATCATGGACGGTACAATGAGAGGATGGAGCCCACCAGGGCTGGCATGGAGTTAGTCCAATATGCCTGCCAGGGTTGATACAGACCCCTCCTCTGTTTCCTACAGCCCCGAGGGCAGCAGTGTGGACAGGCCCACTCTGCAGGAAGTGGCTGTCCAGCTCCGGGGCTATGTCCAGCGTCTCCGGGAGCGCCGCGCCCTGGTGAAGACTCTCCCTGAGCCTGGCCCCACCTTGGCAGCCATGCCCACTCTGCCCCACGCAGAAGCCCTGGTGCAAGCCATTCTGGAGACTCAGCCTGGCCCAGCCTTGCCCCGGCTGGACAAGAGGCAGATCCAGCAGGACCTGGAGGCCACACGGGTACACATAGGCGGGGCCACGGTGCCAGGCTTTCCTGGTGGGACCTTTTGGCGAGGATGAGGGATGTGATTAGGTGACAATGAGGAATGTGATTAGGTGATGAGAGATGTGATTAGGTGACCAAGCAGCAAGGAAAAGCTCTGCTGGGCTAGAGGCAGGCTTCCTGGAAGGAGGAGAACTGAGGCTGGAGTTTTGAAGGATGAATAGGAGTTCGTGCTTTGGAATTCAGTTCCTCATAAGACTTTGAATATGGCTTTCCAAAATGCCCTTCCTATGGAGAGTAAGTGGGGCAGGAGACACAATCTGGGCTCTATAGCCTGGTGGGAAAGACCTAAGGTTCTGGACTGGGAGAAACTCCAGATCCTCCCACTGAGCTGTCACTTGACCTTGCCTAGAACACTTGCCCTCTGAACTGCCATATCTACGGCTGTAGTTTTGATGGGAGGGTGATATTGCTCACCACACAAGGTCAAGGTGAGGGTGTGAGTTCTTGCGCGGCCAGCCCTCAGTGGGTGCCTCTGGAGACCTCGGTGTCCCCAGGAGTGGACCCCAGGGGCACAGAGTCTTCGCCCTCTCCGTGGCTTCTCAGGAGACGCTGGAGGACCTGGTGCTGAGGCTCCAGCTGGTGCGGCGGGAGAGGCGGGGGCTGGAGCTGCAGGAGGCCGCCCTCCGCGCCCAGGGCCCGGTGCACACGCTCCTGCTGGTGCAGCTGCAGTGGGAGCGGGCGCAGCTTCAGACTCGGGGCGCCAGCAGCAGCGGCGGTGGCAGCAGTGGCGGGAGCAGTGGAGACGAGGAGGCATGGTCCCAGGTGAGCGGCTCTGCTGGACCTCGTGGGGCTGGCGAAATGTCTCTGGCCAGGCCTCAGCTTCCGTGTCCGCACAGAGAAATGAGTCGAGTGGTAAACTGCAGGTGAAAGTTCACACTTTGTACTTTGGGGACTTTTTTTGAGGATAGTGAGCCCAATAAGTCCCGGGGGTATAGTGTCTTCCCTTCAAACCTGTACCTCCTCATTCCCATCTCCCACGCCCATTCACACGCTCTGCTCCCCACCCAATAGCCCAGCCCATGCTTCCCCTCTTTCTAAATTTTGGTTCTGGCTCCCTCCCTGAATCCTTCTCTTCCCCCCCTTTTTCTTGTCAGTCATGGCTGCCCTCTGCTTAAAGCAGAGGTGGCTTATAGAACCCTCCTTTGAATCATCTCTTCCACCTCTAAGCCTTTGTATCTGCTGTGTCCCTGCCAGGAACACAGATCACTTTTTTTTTTTTTTTTAATTTTAATTTTATTGATTTTTTTACAGAGAGAAAGGGAGAGGGATAGAGAGCTAGAAACACTGATGAGAGACAAACATCGACCAGCTGCCTCCTGCACACCCGCTACTGGGGATGTGCTCGCAACCAATGTACATGCCCGTGACTGGAATCAAACCTGGGGCCTTTCATTTTGCAGGCCGACGCTCTATCCACTGAGCCAAACGGGTCTCGGCTGCAGACTCACTTCTTTTTTTTTTTTTTTTTTTTTTTTAATATATTGGAGGAAGGGAGACAGATAGAGAGCTAGAAACATCGATGAGAGAGAGTCATCTATCAGCTGCCTCTTGCACACCCCCCATTGGGGATATGCCCGCAACCAAGGTACATGCCCTTGACCGGAATCGAACCTGGGACCCTTCAGTCCCCAAGCCGACGCTCTACCCATTGAGCCAAACCGGTCCCGGCAGCAGGCTCACTTCTTTATCTAGTTAAGTCCTTGACCTCCTGCAGGTCTGAGTTTCAATATCACCTCCCTCAGGTAGCCCTTCTGAACTGCCTTCAGATGAGATCACATGTTATTTACTTCCCTCGTTAGGAGTAATTTTACCCTGATTGGGGCTTCTCCCCAGACTGGGAGCTCGTGAGGGCAAGGACCATTGCTACTACAGTCTGCACATCGACATCCAGCTTGAACTGAGTGTACACTTGGCCTAGACCAGTATCACGTCCGTCCTTCCTCTCTGCTTCCTTCAGGGCCCCGCTGTGCCTGGAGGCAGCAGGGGCAGTGACGGAGGCCAGACGGGGAAAGTGCAGGATCCAGAGGCGCTAGCTCAGGGACTGTCAGCGTCACTCGCCCGGTGTGTGCCTGGGTCCTCCTGGGCTGGGCGGGGGAGGGGAGGGGGGGGAGGTGGGCCTGAGAGGGTGGCGGTGGTTCCTATGTGAGAGCCCGTGGGGGTGTTGTGTACAGCATGGTATACTGGGTGCACACCTGTGTACAGGAACTCCGTGGGCAGGTGGGAGGGCAGAAGGAAGCCAGGACAGGCTATGGCGGTGAGCCCCTCTCTCCTCACCCCTGCACCAGCGCCCTGGGCCTGTGGGAGCAGCTGCAGTTTCTCCGGGAGGAGCTGGAACAGGTGGCTAAGAAGGGGCGAGCCAGACGTGCTCAGAGTGCCAAGCTGAACAGCGATCTGTGTAAGGCGCACAGGTGGGTCCTGCTGCCCGTGGTGATCTCAGCGGCATTCCTGGCTCTTCAGCTGCCCTCCTGTAAGGTGGGCTGGGGGTTCAAGCCATTTGACATCTCCCTTAGTGCCTGGTTTGCGTCAGCCCCTTCTGAGTGACAGTGGGATCCCAGTCAGGAAATACACAGCCCCTGCCTTGGATGGGGGCGGGGGACGGGGGGAGAGACTATATCCTGGCTCAGCCCCCTCTCCCCTCCAGAGCCCTGGTTCTGGCCTTCCGAGGAGCCCAACGGAAGCAGGAAGAGCAGCGGAGGAAGCTGGAACAGCAGGTGGCACTAATGGAGGCCAGGCAGGCAGAGGAGCTAGCCGTGCTGGAAGCCACCGCAAGAGTGCTGGGGAGGCCCAGGCCAGCCCGCCCACCCCCTGGGCCAGGGGAGACCTGTCTGTAGGGCCTGCACCTGGCTGTGTCTGCATGTGCCAGGCAGCGGTGGCGGGCTCTGTCATAAATATCCCGGAGTGACGTCATGTGGTCTGACTTTGCGTGTCGATGGGTGTTTGGCTTGGTGTGATGGGGCTGCTTGGGTGCCTGGGTCCTGATGGGTTGTTGGCCAACATTTGAAAAAGACTCAGTGTCTTGCCAAAACTGGTTTGGCTCAGTGGTAGAGCATCAGTCTGCAGACTGAAAGGTCCCAGGTTCGATTCCGGTCAGGGGCATGTACTTTGGTTGTGGGCACATCCCCAGTAGGGGGTGTGCAAGAGGCAGCTGGTTGACGTTTCTCTCTCATTGACGTTTCTAGCTCTCTATCTCTCTCCCTTCCTCTCTGTAAAGAAATCAATAAAATATATTTAAAAAAAAAAAAAAAAGACTCAGTGTCTTTCGCCTGGCACCATGGGGCATAGGAACGGGGTCAGCAGGATCATGCCAGAGGCAGCCTGGGCTATGGGGATAGGTCCCCAGGTCTGGCTGGGGAGACCCAGGGGCCAATGAGGTTACATAGCCAGAGCTGAAATTCCAGCTCTCACCTGTCTGCAGGAGCCAGGGAGGGGTCCAAGGTGGGTGTGTGTGGGGGTTGGCAGGGCACTCCTTCCCCTGCCCACCCCCTTGGGAGATGCTAGGTTTGGCCTGGCAAATGCTCCCAAGAGGAAGATGCCCAAGTCCCAGGGCGACTGGGCCCCCATGGTTCCGGGTGTGGAATGTTTGCTGGAAGGGCCTTGTGCTCCGGGTGCAGGTTGGGGGAGGAGGAATCAGATGCAGCCTTGGAACTTGCATGCAAAGCATATGGAGCTCAGGCAAAGGCCTACAGACCTGGAAGCAGAAACCCAGGGTCTATGCTGCAGGCGCCGAGGAGCTCAGAGCTGCTGCTGATGGCGAACACAAGGCCCTGGGAGCGGGGATGGCCCTTTGGTGAGAGTAAATTCCGGCAGCTAGGGAGCTGTGGGAGGTGGCAGTGCCAGGTTAGTAACAGGCATCCGATCAGCATTCGTTCCCATAGGCCACACTCCCCTGCCCTTCCAGGCGGGCTGGGCGGGCGGGGTTGCAAAAGGAGGGCTGGGCTGGATCCAGCCGGCTGGGATTACCAGCCAGCTGTCCCCTCCCGGGCGGCTGCTGAAACCCAAACTGGGGATTAGCCAGGTTCTCCTTCTCTGCCCGGTGCTGCCCGGGGCGTTTCCCAGGCCTCACCTGTGCTGGTGGGTCGGGTGGGTGCCCGCCTCTCAGGAAGGCAAGACAGGCCTGGGGTCTGCGGGAGTCAGCGGCCCGGCCTGCACCCGGTCCTCCTGACCCACAGAGGCCTCGGGGGAGTGCTGGGGCTGCTGACCTTCAGACCCCTGAGCTCTCTCTTTGGACCAGGCAGGCTTGGAAGACAGCAGGGAAACTGAGGCGAGCAATGTCGCCCGGGAGGTGGGCCGACCCTATCAACCTTGGTGTCCTTCTCCCCACCTCCCCAGAGTCCGGGCCCACCTGGTAGCCCGTGGGGGAGGGGGCAAAGGAGACAGTGCCCCTGTGGAGGGTGGGGAAGGAGTCTGCGCTGGGGGAGGGGGAGGGGCTGGTTCCCAGGCCTCCCAGAGCCGGGTCTGGCTGTTCCCACGGGTGCCCCCGCGGCAGATGGGCCCAGACCTCTTTGTCCCTGGTCCTCGGCCGCCACAAGGTCAAATGTCACCGCGGGGCCACGGGCAGGGGTCAGGGAGGTGGATCTGGACCTCAGCTACCCTCACTTGCAGGCGGGGGCCCGGGGGTGCGCGGCCAGTGGAGCTACCGGGCAGGGGGCAGGGCAGCCGCCTGGGGTTGGACCTGCAGCAGAGCTGACTTTACTCTCCAGTCCAGCCCCGGCCAGTCACTTCTGAGCCTCCTGCCCCAGACTCGTGTCTCTCAAACCTCCCTACCCCACCTCCTCCCTTCCCCAGCCCCGCTCTGATTCTCTTTCCTGATCCTTCTCTCCCTCCCTTCTAAGTCTCCCTTTCTGAAACCCCTGTTCTCTCATCAAGGATCCTGGAAGTTTTATCTAAGCCAGGGAACTAGGATCCCTGTCCTCACCCCAAATAACTAGTCAGCACCCCCACCTTCCAGGCAGCCCCAGAACCGAAGGGTCCTCTCTAACCACCCAGACCCCCCTCCCTCCCCAGCGAGGCTCACAGAGCAGAAGTCCACTCTAGTTAGACGCATGGCAAGTCCTTGCTCATCTAACCCTAGTCCTTCTTGCTCTCTGTGCCTGCTGAAACCTTCCCCACCTTCCTCCCGCCCGGCCCACCCTGGGAAGCCCAGAGCCCCGGAGCTGGAGGACTGAGCTGCCCTTCCCAGGGCCTCGGTACCCCTTTAAGTGCTGCAAGATTTCTAAGCAACCCCCTCCTTCCCAGGATGCTTGTTCGGATGTCTTCTGGAGAGGAGGTGCCTGTCCCCAGGGGCAGAGGGCACTGCTTTCCTGCCTCTGCGGCCCTCAGAAGCCCAGCCACATGGCCTCGTGTCTGGCTCTGGGCAGGGCAGGGCAGGGCAGGGCAGGAGAAAAGGCTTGGCGACTGGACCTCAGGGACTCCAAGGTGAAAGGTGAAAGGAGGGGCTTTTCCAGCGGGTTAAACGTTAACCGTTAACAAGCCCAGCGCTGGGGGCTCCAGCAGCTCCTGCCAGAAGCAGCCTGGGAGCATTCAAAAGGTGTTTAATAAGTGCTGGCTGGCTCCGGTCCAGGGCCTGGGTGGGGTTGTGGGAGGTTTTGCAGGCGGACGGCAGCTGGGAGGAGAGACATCTGCAGTCCAGCCGGCCGCCTGGCCAAGCCCTCTCTATAAAGCACAGGACAAAAAGGAAATTAAAGGGGAAGGGGAGGTGGGCATTCCTGTCGCTTCTGACCTCGCGGGGCGGTGGTGGTGGGCGACCTGCTCCCAGAGGCCTGAAATTCCGGCGAGGGACCCTCTGACCTCGCGTCCCTGCCGGCCGCCCACCCCCGCAGCCCTTCCCCCTGGATATTCCGAGCACCAGGTGTTCGCCGGGAGCAGAGGCTGGGCGGGAGGGGGCCGGACGCGGCGACTTACTGGAAGAGGAGGCAAACACAATCCATTTTGCAACCGTGCAATGCCCCAGGGTGTCCGGGCGTGAGCGCGCGAGTGTGTGCATTGCATACGGGCATGCCCCCCTCCCCCGGGGTGCAACCGGACCCCCGTTATTGCATGTGCCGGGAATGTGGGGCTTCCGAGCAGCGCCTAGAGGGCAACGGAGCGAGGCAACCTACAACACAGGAGGCGGAGGGGAGGGCTTTGAAAGGTATCCGGGCGAGGCCGCGGAAAGGCTGAGGGCGGCCGCTGCCCGGGTCCCGGCCGCGGCCGGGCAGGGGTTAAGGCTGGAGCGGGCGCGGACGGGGCGGGGGCGCGGAGGGGGAGCGGGAGGGGAAGGGTCAGGCCCAGCCGAGCGGCCCCGTGCTCCGCCCCCGCCCCTCCCGCCGGCGCCGGGCGCCGCGCGCGGCCACCCATGCCCTTATAAGGGCGGCCGTCGCCGGGGCAACGAGCGCCCGCCCCCAGCCCGCGGCGCGCGCCCCTGCCCCCGCCCCCGCCCGCCGCCCGCCGCCCCGCGGATGGAACGCCGTGTGTCAAACCGGCCGCAGCGCGAGGCCGGCGCACGGGGTCGGCGGCGGCGGCGGCGGCGGCGGCGAGAGCGAGGCTCGGGCCCGAGCTCAGGCCCAAGCCTGGCGTGTGCGGCCGCGGCGGGGGCGGCAGCTCGGGAAGCGCCGGCCCGCAGCCCCGCAGGCCCCGCGCGGCCGCCGGGGGCCCCCAGCGACCCGGGGGGCGCGGCGCCCGGCCGCGGCGCGCGCCCGCCGCCCATCCCCCTCGCCGCGGGCGGCCGCGCAACTTGCGGCCAAACTTTCCCCCCGGCCTCCCGCGCCCGGATGGCGGCCCGCTGAGTTGGCCGCAGCTACCCGGCCGAGAGGCGGCCAGGCCGGAGGGCGCCCCGCGTGCAGCCCGGGCCGAGCCATGGCCCGCGCGCCCCCGGCGGGGCCCCAGGGCGGCGGGGCGCGAGTCCCCGGGGCCCCCGGCCCGCGCCGCTAGCGGCCCCCCCCGCCCCCCGGGCCCGGGCCCGGCCCCGCGCACGCGTGGGAAAGTTGGCCTGGAACCGGCCCGACCAGTTCCGCCCGGGCGGGCGGACCGGCCGCAGGAAGTTGCTGAAAAACTTTTTTTGGGGGTGCAGCCGGTACCCCCCGCGCGCCGGGACCGGATGCGCACCGGGTAGGGTCCCCCCGGGCCGACAGGGGTGCCCGGCGGGAGGCGCGCGGAGGGGGCGCCCCGGCCCCGCTGCCCGGGGGCTATGGCCATGGTGACCGGCGGCTGGGGCGGCCCCGGCGGCGGCGGCGACACGAACGGCGTGGACAAGGCGGGCGGCTACCCGCGCGCGGCCGAGGAGGACTCGGCCTCGCCCCCCGGCGCCGCCAGCGACGCGGAGCCGGGCGACGAGGAGCGGCCGGGGCTGCAGGTGGACTGCGTGGTGTGCGGGGACAAGTCGAGCGGCAAGCACTACGGCGTCTTCACCTGCGAGGGCTGCAAGAGCTTCTTCAAGCGCAGCATCCGCCGCAACCTCAGCTACACCTGCCGGTGAGCCCCCTCCCCGCCCGCCCGCCGCCGGCTCCGGCCCGGCCCGCCCGGCCTGGGCCCTGACCTGCTCGGTCACCTTGGGCCTGGCGCTGACCTTTCCGGGCCTCCACCCCCCTTCCGAGATAAGGGCACAGCCCCCTGGCCCCCCTGTCCATCCCATTCCTGGCATGGCGTATACAGTCGGCGCAGTGTGGATGCCGTTCCTCCCATCAGGTGGTCCCCTTGAGTCTTCCGCCCCCGTTCCCTGCTCCTCCTCCGTCCCTCGCTTTAAAAAAAAAAAAATTTTTTTTTTTTCCCGGAGAGGGGTCATCTACGTGGGAAGAGGTGCTGGGGTGCTGTCAAGGGTGGGATCTTAACCCCTTAGGAATGGTCGTGCAGAGACCCCCGCGGGAATCGAACGTGGAACTTGGACTGTGCTGCTGCTCGGCGCGTCCAGGGGCCATTGTCTGCGGCCGCGGGGATCGATACGGCGCGCCCTTGGGGTCAAATATCACTTCCAAAGTCGCTCCGGCCAAAGGGAGGCCTTGATGAGAGCGAGGCCCGGGTGGCACAGGGCGGCCGCCCTCGCGTGGAGGACCCTATTGTGGGGGAGCGGGGCCGGCCTCTCGGTGGGCACCCGCCCCGGGCTCACCCTGGACCGTGGGTCACCGGAAACCGCCGCTGGAGGGGAGGGGGCGGGGAGGATGGGGAGGGCGGCTGGATTTGACCGCACCTCTGCCGCTCCGCCCCAGCAGCCTGGAGCGGGATGAGACCTGAGGCTCCTGGAAAATCCCTGACACTTAGGTGGCCCCACTGGGGGCCCAGGATGTACGATTCCGGGAAGGCCTGGGCTGGGCTGGGTGGAGTCTCAATTGAGAGGGGCTTTGCCCAGCCCTGGTCCCCTTCCTACCACTCTTGGGTGAGCATTTCCCCCACTTCATGGACCAGCCCCTGCTCTGAGCCTGCATGAACATGCCTGGGCTCTGCTGAACCAGTGTGGGGAGCCCCACTCCCCATATGCACAAAACTTGAGACTCAGCAAGGTCCTGGTGTCCGTTCTGGGTCACCCAATGGGAGAACCTGCCCCGGTTGGGGTTTAGTAAAGGGAACTATGGGGTGGGGGAGGGAGGGTGACCAAGTTGGGGTCAGGGTCCTTCCAGGAAAGGCTTGCTGGGTGGGTCCCTGGAGTTTGGCCCCAGGTTTGGGGTGGGCTTGTCTGGTGTGTGTGTGTGTGTGTGTGTGTGTGTGTGTGTGAGAGAGAGAGAGAGAGAGAGAGAGAGAGAGAGAGATGGCTTCCTCCCTCTAGTGCTAACTGGGCCACCCGTCTGGCCTCATTCTTGCTGCTGGAATAACTGCCTGCTTTCTGGCCAGGTCTTTGGGGAGGGCAGAGGAGGGGCGCAGGCAGTTTTGAGGTCCCAGAGGTTCCCTGAGGGTGGGAGTTGCCTTGTTGGGGCGGCAGGTCCTTTAGGAGCGCAGGGCTGTGTCACCAGGTGAAGTCACAGCCCTTCAGGGAAGTTTCCTCAGGCCCATGCTGGGTGGTGTGATGTCAGCCCCCTAGGGAGACTTAGCTCCCAGCCCGGCCCTCTCCCAGGCTGAAGGCGGCACAGTGAGATGCAGAGCACCCAGCCTGTGGAGTCGGGGCCCGGCCGACGGGAGAGCTGGGTCTGGGGTCCCAGGAGGGAACAAGGGGCTCTGCCTGAGGGTCAGGGAGGGCTGCCTGGAGGAGAGCAGCGGGATGGGCCCCAAGCAGGAGGGCTTGGTCCAGGCAGACTCCCGAGGCAGGTTGGGGAGCATTGTTGTAAGATGAGACCACCAGGCCTGGAGAGAAGTAAGCTGAGTGGGCCTGCAGTGCTGGACTGAGGGCCACAGGGAGCAGTGGAGGGTGTGTGACAAGGGAGGGCTCTAATCAAACTGAACTGGAAGCCAGACGTCCAGGAGGAAGCTTAGTTGGGCCCCGGGGTCGAGCCAAGCATGTGCTTGTTAGGTGGATCTTTAAACTTTCTGTGTCCCCATCTGGAAAGCAGTCCTGACTTCAGACCTGGAGAAGTTTAAGCAGAAGGTTCCAAGCCTCCCCTGAGGGCAGGGGCCCCCAGCTGGGCCCCTGCCTGCCTGCCCACCCACCCTAGGCTTGGCTGTTTCCAGCCGGCTGCCCCCAGCCTGCTGCCAAGGACCCTCCCACTGCCTGCCTGCTGGGCTTTGTTCTGGTTCTGCCTGAGCTCCCTCCGCCCTAGCAGGGCCTCCGGGGGCTGGGGCTGTTTAGGGGCAGAGGCCTGAGCTCGGAGGCTGCCACTTGCAGGATCCAGGCTCTCCGGCTCTCCGGATCCTCAGCTCTTCCAAAGCTGCTACTGGCACTCCCTGCTGGGGCCTAGGGCCTGGGGCCTGACGCCTTCCCCTCAGACAGCCCTCCCCACGCCGGACCCCGTGCATTTCACCCGGAGCTGGCGTCCCGCCTCCTGTCTTGGTGAAAAAGTTGCTGCAGGAGGGCCAGGGCTGCATGTTCGGCTGAGAGGGGTTTGATTTTTAACTTCATTAAGTGATTTACTCTGAATTTCTCGGGATGAACTTGGTGCTCAGCTGGAAGCTAGGGGTGCCTGGCCCCCTCCCCCCCACCTCTGTCTGGGCTCAGCCCTGGGACCAGGGTGGAGAGAGTTACTGAGGGGCAAGGGCCAAGGGGAAGAGATGCTGGGGACATATGAAGGACAGGCTCCTGAGTCCTCTTGCTTGGGGTTGACTCTGGACAGGGAGCTCTGCCTCACAGGGCCCGCCCACCTGTCTGTCCCAAACCTGGGAGAGGCAACAAGGATCCCAGAAAGAAGTTTCTTGGGCTCGGTTAGGAGTTGGAAGGTCTTTCCAGAGGAAGAGACGTGGGTGTGGGGTTTTAAAGCAGGAACTGGGGTTCGTTCACTCATTCATTCATTGGTGATGGCCTTGTGCAGGGACCCCATAGAGGACTGGCTCTGGCCTGGCCTGGCCTCGCCTCTACTCTGTTAGTCAACTCAGAACGCCCAGCTCCCTGACCATGTACTTCTCTGCTCCACATTACCCCTGGGACAAGGACCCCACCGCTCAGTCTATCAGTGACTACATAAAATGAAACTGTTTAGGCCTCCATATTTTCACATGTCAATGTTTTTCTCTCGTTGCACTCTGCTTATAATTGCCTTTCCATTCACCCAGGGAACTATTCATCCTTCAAAACCCAGTTCCAGTACCTTCCCTGGTGTGCTAGTCTACTCTGCCATCGACTCCTCCTCATCCGTCACCACCAATTGTCCTTTCCTCTCCTTTTTTTTTTCTTAATTGATTTCAGAGAGGAAGGGGGAGAGGCAGAGAGAGAGAAACATCAGTGATGAGAATTACTGACTGGCTGCCTCCTGCACCCACACTGGGGATTGAGCCCACAACCTGGGCATGTGCCCTGACCAGGAACCGAATCATGACTTCCTGGTTCATAGGTCAAAACTCAACCACTGAGCCATGTCCGCCAGGCTGTGCTTTCCTCTTTGTAGACCTGCAGGCTTAACCTTGATGCCCCTTTGGGGCTGCCTACCCAGCCTGGGGTGGGTGCATGCCAGTGTTTCCCAGGCGCAGCCTTCAGAATTGGCTCAGAGGGTAGCTTGAAGAGCTGGGTGTGTGTGTCACGGTGACGCGCATGGTGGCCTCTGCATGCCCACAGGTCTAACCGTGACTGCCAGATCGACCAGCATCACCGGAACCAGTGCCAATACTGCCGCCTGAAGAAGTGCTTCCGGGTGGGCATGAGGAAGGAGGGTGAGTCTCTGCGGGGGCGGGGCAGCCAGCGGGTAGACAAATGGCCTGCCTTCACTCCCTCTCTGGGGTCTGGTGCCTGCTAATCTCGTTACCACCCATCTGAGATCCCAGGGGTCTCAGTTTGGCCCAGGGCTTGAGGAATCCAATTACCAGTGGTGCCTTGTGGCTGTGCAGGAGCTGGGGCTGACGGGCCACGTTAGGGCTGTTCTCCAGCTTCCCTGGCCTCAGAGGCAGGTGCTCCGGCCCTGACATCTCAGCGACCTCCCTGCCCCTGTCCCCTAGCCCGGCCACCTCTCTCTGAACAAGGACATATTTTTTTTATTTGACTTTCTCTCCCTCCCACTCCACCCCGGCTTTATGTTTGCCCAAGGCAGGAACTTGCCTGATTAAGTCAAAGGGCAGCCTGTCCTTCCTCCTGACCCCTGGCCCCGGGGAGCCGGAGGGAGGCCCAGCTTTTTGTCTCTGCCCTGGGGCTGTGGGTGGAGATATGCTGGCAGTCAGGCCTAGAACTCCACCCTGAGAATGGAAGTGGAATGCAGAGACTTCCACCGGAGCCTGCCGCTCTAGAACAGAACTAGCCCCATGCTGGGTGTCCCGTTTCCGCCCGGACTCTCCTGGCTAAGAGTTCTTCTCTGCATTTAAATGGAATTTTTTCCTTGTCTGCAGTTGGTTTCTTCTCTGCCGGGGCTTCTGGAAGAAGCTAGGAATGGCTACTCAAACTGTCTCTTAAACCCGGGGTTGGGCAAACTCATTAGTCCACAAAGCCAAATATCAACAGTACAACGACTGAAATTCCTTTGGAGAGCCAATTTTTTAAAACTTAAACTTCTTCTAACGCCACTTCTTCAAAATAGACTCGCCCAGGCCGTGGTATTTTGTGAAAGAACCACATTCGAGGGGCCAAAGAGCCGCATGTGGCTCAATGAGCCTCAGTGTGCCGACCATCTGATCAGTCCCTTTGGTCCTTTTAAGTTTGAGGTGACTGTCCTGCCTCCTTCCCCCCCTTGGATTTGCCGCCACTTGTCCATTGGACCTAAAATCCCTCTGTACTTCAAACCAGGGCTTCGGCTCTGTCTCAGGAGTGGATGCCATCATGGCAGCTCATGTCCCAAGCACAGTCCTACCTCGGCCTTGCCATGGGCTCTTCCTTCTGCCTGGCTTCCTCCCTCCCTTCCGTTAAGGTTTGCTTAAATAGCACCTCCTCAGAGAAGCCTTCCTGACCCTCCTCCCCCTCCCCATGTGCTCCATGGCAGTTTGGCCAGAAGTTCATGAAGGTGGCAAGACAAGTCCTGCCAACTCGTTAACGCACAGTCTCTGCCTGGCACCCAGGCCAGTCTGCCTCTCTTCCCACCTGCCTGGTCACTGGGGACACTGGCTGAGGCCAGCAGTGAGCCCTCTACCTCCTCCCGCCAAGACTGCTGATGGCAGTACTGTTTATTGTGCACCCAGGACTGTCTGAGATTCCATTCTCAGCGCTGAGGCAACTGCAGTGACCCAGACAGACAGGTCCTCTCCGGGGCCATGACCTGGGGGCGGGGCTGGGAGCTAGAGAAATGATCCCCTTTCCATAGGAGAGATCACTTGCTTTAGGGACAAGCTGGCCAGGGTCCCAAGTCCTAGGAAAGTATCCCCTCCCTGGCCCCATTTTCAGCTCTGGGACTCCCATGATTGACAGATAGGGGTATGATTGACAGGTCAAGCCTCCCTGACTCCTGAATGGAGCTCACGCAGGCCAGTGGGAGAGAGCCAGGCATGCCTTAAATTCGCCCTCACCCCGTGGTCCCGTTCCCGCCCGGAAGCCCCCCTCCTCGGTCTTCTCTGTAGGAAGTTGGGTGGGATTGGGGCTGGACAAGGTCTCAGGCTGCAGGACGGAATCCCTGGCCTCCCAACAAGCTGTGTGCCCACCGGGTGGGATTTTAGGGGAAGGCTCGTTGTGGTGGGTTTTAGAGGGGAGGGGCTAAGTAACCAACTGATCACTTTGTCTTTTCCCCTTTATTTCTCCCTTCCCTCCTCCCCCCCAATGATTCTCTGGATATCCACTTTTCCCTATTCCATCCCTCCTCCTCCTGGCCCTCTCTCCCCCTCCCCCCTCCCCATGCTCCTTCACACCCCCCTTACCCATTTCCATCATCCCTCCCCCACTCCTAACCCTCATCCCTTCTCCCTCTCCCCTTCCTCTGCCCACCTCCGCCCCTGCCAGCGGTCCAGCGTGGCCGCATCCCGCACTCGCTGCCCGGCGCCGTGGCCGCCTCCTCCGGCAGCCCCCCGGGCTCCGTGCTGGCGGCCGCGGTGGCCGGCGGGGACCTCTTCCCGGGGCAGCCGGTGTCCGAGCTGATCGCGCAGCTGCTGCGCGCTGAGCCCTACCCGGCAGCCGCGGGGCGCTTCGGCGGCGGCTCCTCGGGCGCCGTGCTGGGGATCGACAACGTGTGCGAGCTGGCGGCGCGGCTGCTCTTCAGCACCGTGGAGTGGGCGCGCCACGCGCCCTTCTTCCCCGACCTGCCCGTGGCCGACCAGGTGGCGCTGCTGCGCCTGAGCTGGAGCGAGCTGTTCGTGCTCAACGCCGCGCAGGCCGCGCTGCCGCTGCACACGGCGCCGCTGCTGGCCGCCGCCGGCCTGCACGCCGCGCCCATGGCCGCCGAGCGCGCCGTGGCCTTCATGGACCAGGTGCGCGCCTTCCAGGAGCAGGTGGACAAGCTGGGCCGCCTGCAGGTGGACTCCGCAGAATATGGCTGCCTCAAGGCCATTGCGCTGTTCACACCTGGTAAGATGAGCTCCAAGGGGGGGGGGGGGGAGGTGGGACCCTTCACTCCCTGATGCCCTGCCTGCCTGCCTGCGGCCTGCACCCGCTGTGAGTGCGGAATGGGGCAGTGGAGGGGGTGATAGAGGTGGTGTGGCACCCTGATGCCCCAACCCCAGATCCCAGGTCTCCCTGAGAACTCTGACTCTGGCCCCCAGACCCCAGGCTGGGTCTGAACTGGTTCCACAGCCTCTCTTACTGATTTTTGGGCTCCCTGGGACACCCCCCTCTCCCACTCTCCATCCCTTCATCAAAGAGCCCCGATACCTGGTTTCTGTGACTCCAGACCTCTGACCCAGAGTCCCCCGCCCGCTCCTAGGGCAGCCCCCAGGGCTGACTGGATTGGGAAGGGCGTGGCTTTGAGGTCCTTCCCATTTGGGAGGGGCAAGGCTGCCCTAGTGCTCTCCCTGCCAGGTGTGACCATCCAGCCGCCAAAGCCCCACCTAAGGGCCTGGTGGCACCGCTGCCTCTGTACCAGGAAGGACCCAGACCCCACTAGGTGTTTCTTGAGGCCAGGGATGCAGGGACCAGACCCAGGCCATTCGGGAGGTGGCGTTGATGTGAAATATACAGCTCTGCCTTCCTTCCCTAAGATTCCACCCCCTCTCCCCCTTCAAGGGGCCCCATCTAGACACTGTCACATTTACTCAAGCCCCGGGCCCCCGCAGGCCTTGCCTTCCTCCCCACGGCCCTTCCCAGCCCCCTCTTTCCCTTGAACTTGATTAGAACTTGTCTCCCTGACAAGGCCTCTGTTATGAGGTACCATTGCCTGCACCCTTGTGTTACTGTCCTCAGAAGAGGCTTACCTCCGTATTTTTTGAGAGCCACCACTGCCTTAGATACCCCCATTTGTGACCCAGGTCCTGAATGCCCCTCTCCCTCCACATCCACATCCCCAGTGGTGCCCCAGTCACCCCCGGGGCCCTGTGCCCGCCATGTCCTGCCCCCCCTGACCTTGCCCTTGTCCTTCCAGATGCCTGTGGCCTTTCAGACCCGGCGCACGTGGAGAGCCTGCAGGAGAAGGCGCAGGTGGCGCTCACCGAGTACGTGCGGGCCCAGTACCCGTCCCAGCCCCAGCGCTTCGGGCGCCTGCTGCTGCGGCTCCCCGCCCTGCGAGCCGTCCCCGCCTCCCTCATCTCCCAGCTGTTCTTCATGCGCCTGGTGGGCAAGACGCCCATAGAGACGCTGATTCGAGACATGCTGCTGTCCGGAAGTACCTTCAACTGGCCCTACGGCTCGGGCCAGTGACTGGACAGGACCCGGCTCCCTGGCCGGGTCTTCAGACCTCAAGGGATGTGGCTGCTCGAGCCTCCGGGGGCAGACTCCCCAGACAGAGGACTCCAGCCTGTCTCCTCAGACTCCTGTTTTTTAAAGACTGTGAAATGTTTGTCTTTTCTGTTTTTTAAATGATCATGAAACCAAAAAGTGACTGATTGTCCAGGCTCTGGCCTTGTCCTCCACAGAACCTCCTGGCCAAGATGGGGGAGGAGCTGAGGTTCTGATCCTGGGACGGTCCGTCCTTCAGTGCCTCCGGCAGGAACTCGTGGATGGTGGGTTGGCTTCCCCACTGTGAGGGGCAGAGGCCTGGTGTCGACGGGAGGGGCAGCCGTAGCCAGGAAGGAGTTGCGGGTACCAGGCGGCTTCTGGACACGTGATCCACGTTGGACACTACATAGTGAATGAATCAAGGCCAATAATAAAGGCATTTCCTACCTGCAAACAAAGATTGTCATCTCTCCCCCACCCCCCTGTTAATTTTTTAAAAAGTGGAAGGGAAAGAGGGAAGAGGGGAGGGAGGGAGGGACATGCATGTGATCCATTGGTTGCCTCCCACATGTACCCCAACTGGGGCTGGGGATTGAACCTGCAACCCAGGTACATGCCCTTGACTGGGAATTGAGTCCACAGTCCTGTGGTGCATGGGCTCATGCTCTAACCACTGAACCATACTGGCCAGGGCTGTCATCTTTTGAGGGGAAGGCAGCCTACCATGGAAACCCACTCCCACCGCCTGGAAAACCCACAGCCTAACAGTAGCCCTACTTGCTCTTTGTGTTGGGCACTGTTGTAGGGAGCCGGTCTGGGGTTGGGAGGGGCTGAGGTCAGCCAGTGAGTCTATAGGAGTTAAGCCTAGCAGATGCTCAGGTAAAACTCAGACTCTGGCTTCAGAGAGTGAGCCTCATGGGTTCATGCCCTGGACCCAACACCTCACTGTTTTTTGGCCGGCCCTTAGTCATGGCGTCCGGGACCCTGTGTCCCTGGGTAAAACAGTGCCCAGCGGCAATCACTGTTAAGCTTGCAGTGCTCACAAGTGGAAAATTGCAGGGACCCATTTATCTGGTTGGCCTCAGGGCCTCCTGTGGGATCCTGGCTGCGCCTGCCCCCTTCAGGTGGTCCCCAGCATTACATCCCATGCATTCTGTAGAAGGCTACCCCAGCAAGACTCTAAGGTCCTTTGCCTCCATTACTGGACCTGCGGAAACTCCTGGCCCCTGGGGGTCCCCAACCACTTGGCCCCTCACTTTCCCCAGAACGGGCCCCTGGAGGCTCTGGAGGATAGGGAGCCTCCTGAACAGATAAGGGGTCATACCACACTTGGAGACCCTGAACATGGCCTTGTCTCAGAACCTTCATTTTTTTCCCCCTCTGCAACATGGGAGAACAATTTTTTTGGTGACAACAGGGTGTTAAGCATAGCATATATTTAAGAAATGTTTATTCCATCGGGATTGGAAACAGGACCTGCTTCCAGAGGGTGAGTTGAGATCTAGGGTCCCCATGGGGTCAGGGCTGGGGGTCCTGGGAAGAATTCCTGGAGTGGGGGGTCATCAGGACCAAAGCCTCAAAGGCTGAGGCATTTGCAACCAGGGAAGGCTACCCTAGGCCTGGGAGAGAGCAGGAACTAAGCCTGGGAGGTAGAAAGTGGAGTGAGGGCAAGTGGCACCGGCCCTCTTCCCGCCAGACAGACAGGATGCTCAGAAGTACACAGAGCCCTCACTGTCTTCTCGGTTGTCGAATTTCTGGATCTGCGCCTTGAGGTGCCTCAGTTTTCCCTTCAGGTAACGGCAGCGAGCCTGTTTGTCCAGAAAGCCGGGGTCCTGGGTAGGACGAGAAGCAGGGAAGTCCTTGTGGTAGTCTGGCCTGGGGTCCTCAAGCTGCTTGGCCGTTTTATTATTTTATTTTTAAATATATTTTATTGATTTTTTACAGATAGGAAGAGAGAGGGATAGAGAGTTAGAAACATCGATGAGAGAGAATCATCAATCAGCTGCCTCTTGCACACCCCCTACTGGGGATGTGCCTGCAACCAAGGTACATGCCCCTGACCGGAATCAAACCCGGGACCTTTCAGTCTGCAGGCCGACGCTCTATCCAGTGAGCCAAACTGGTTTTGGCCTGCTTGGCCGTTTGCTTTTCCTCTCTGAGCCACAGCTTTCTTTCTGTGGAACTGAGCACTTAAGGGAGTGTCAGGGGAGCAAAGGCCAGGCTGTGGGATTCAAGAGGCCCTGACTCACCGTCCGCTTCTTCTCAAATTCTCTCCAGACTCTGGCGGCTACTTGAGCCTCCTTCTGTGAGGGGAGAGGGAGGAGGGGGACTGAGGGAGTGCTGGACCCAAGGAGAGATGGGGAAACTGAGGCTCAAAGAGACCCAGTGACCCATTTAGGGAGCACTTTAGGACTGTGGTGCTAGCCCAGGCTGGAGAAGGAAGGGTTTGGGGATCTAGACCCAGTGGGTGTGCTGAAAGCCAGGGTCTGGCCGCCCGGAAGGGCTGTGGGGCAAGGGTTTCCACCTGGTTGCTGACCTGGCTGTGGGGTGGGGGCAGTGAGGTCAGCAGGGCTTCCAGCTGCTGGAGCTTAGCCTGTGCGGAGCGCAACTCCTGCTGGAGCTCCAAGAACTCGGAATACTGGTCCTGGAACACCGCGGCGTAGCAGCTCCGTTCCCTCCCACTGCTCACTGGCGGGTACTTACTGCTGGGGGGAGGGGAGTGTGGAAAGCAGGACAGAGGATGAGTGTAAAGAATCCCTGCCTTTCCCCCAACCAGTGTAAGTTTTTCTCTGCTCATGCTGGGCTCATTGCTCAAAATGTCCTTTTTCTCTTATCTACTCACTTGTCAAGGCCCCAAACTCTGCCCCTCCACAGTCCCCAGGCACCGGCAACCACATGGACACTCACAGCTCATAGTCGGGCACTGGGTGGGGCCTCGGCATATGCTCCCCAGGGATGGATTCAACAGGCTTCTTGGTGCCGGGGCGGGGCCGGGAGGGCAGTTCATCCTCAAATACAATCTTCTTGGGCCGTGCCCTGTGCGCTCCTGGCTGCGGTTGGCACAGAGAACAGCGGACGCTGGTTCCAAATGAACCAGGCTGTGGGGAAGCTGGGATCCTTTAAACTGGGGGTAATGCATCATCCCCTGCCTAGGCCCGGCCTGGGGACCTTCCTCCAGCTCAGACTTACCGGAGGCCCTGGGCCAGGCGGGCGGAACTGCAGGTCCCCCCGGGAGCCGTGGGCGTGGGGGGGCTCCCGGGTAGGCATGGGCCTCGGGAAGGAGCCGCTCGGGCGCCCCGAGGCCGCCGGGCGGGTCCTGCGGGGGCCGTCGTGGCCCGCACGGGGCGGGGGTGGTCTGCGGGCGGCCTGTGAACGCAAGGAGGCACCTGAAGGGGGCGCCGCTGCAGGACCCGACGAGGGGAACCTGTGACAGCCAACTCCCAGCCCCAGGGCGAGCCCCAGCGCCGCTGATTTGCATAGACGCACACGATTGGTCCTCAGAGCGCTCCGCCTGCGGAACCCGGAAAGGCGCTATGCAAATGAGCCTGACGCCGGCGCGCGGCGGGGCCGGCTGGGGTCCATCCCCGCGCGGCCCCGGGCTCGCCCGCTGCGGCGCCCGGAGTCCGCCGACACCGCCCCCGAGGAGACCCCGGGGACCCCCGCCCGGGCTACCTCCCCCGACCGAGCGCCCGTTCCCGCCCGGAGTCACCTGTCCCAGCGTCCGGAGCTCGGGGCTTGGGTCCCCTCTCCGCGCAGCCCGAGGACGAATTACGCCTTAACTGCGGGTTGGACCCAACTGGTGGGGGCGCTCCGCCAGGCGGGGGCGGGGCTGGCGGGAGGGGCGGGGCTTGTGGCGAGGGGGCGGGGCCTGGCGACTGGGGGGGGGAGAGGGGACTTCCAGCCCTAGGAAGACCCCGCCTGCCATGTGTTTGGGGCCGGCGAGGCACCCTCTCTGAGCCTCAGTTTTTTCTTCTGAAAACAGGTGGCTTTGGCGAACTTGCACCCCTCCATTTACCAAGAAATTATATTTATAAAACATTTCTCTAAATAACTAGCGGTATATTTATAAAGTTCAAACAACAGAAAAGTTGCATAGGGCAAACGTGAATGTCACATCCGCTCAGAGGCAAGATTTAGTTGTGTCTTTTTCTGGGACGATCCTCTTTCAATGACAAACAATACAAATATTTCCCTCACTACAGACAATACTGCAAAGAATATTCACGTGCACATTCCTTTGGCCAGGTATGCGAGGAAGTGGAATCGCCCCTGGAAGGCAGAGACCTCTGTGTTTTAATTTGGAAAGATCCTGTCAAGTTGTTTTTCGATGAGGTTGTTCTATTATAACCAGCAATGAAACAGTGGTTTTCCCCAAACCTTTGCCACACTGATGTTAGCACGGTTTTCTGCAGATGTATTTTCAGATTTAAATCTTGCTTAATCTGGTAAGTGAAAAAATTTAGAAATCATTTGTATTTCTTTACTTATTTTCTGCAAATCTTTTTTGTCTTGTTGATTTTTTAGTAGCTCTTCCTATATCAGGGAAGTTAGTTTAACCAGGTAGTGTATCTTCTTTGATGCTGTTATAAATGGAAATGAATTTGTTTTATTATTTTTTTCATTTATTTTATCTTTTCCCCATCACCATTTATCCCTCGCATGCTCTCTTCCACCTCTACCCACTCTAGGAAACTAATTTAAATATTCATGAAATCCCTTGTTAGTTTATTGGATTCTCTCATTAAAATAGCTTTTTAAAATGTTGAGGGAAGGAGCCCTGGCCATTGTAGCTCAGTTGGTTAAGCATTACCCCACGCACCAAAAGGTCAAGGGTTCAATTCCCAGTCAAGCAAGCCTGTGTTGTGGGCTTGATCCTCAGGAGCGGGCAAGCAGGAGGCAGGTGATCAATGTTTCTCTCACAGTGATGTTTTTCTCTCTTTCCCATCCTCTCTCTAAAAATCAATAAAAACATAGTAAAAAAAAAAAATAAATGGTGATGGAAGGAGACTTGACTTGGGGTGGTGAACACAATACAATATACCGATGATGTATTATAGAATTGTACCCTTGAAACCTATATAATTTTATTAACCAATGTCACTCCAACTAATCAATAAAAATTAAATAAAATAAGCAAAAATACAAAATAGCTTTTGTCTTTCCTATAGTCCAGTGTTTTCCAAAGTGTGGTACGTGTACCCCCACGGGTTTAGGAAGAATTTGGTGGGGGTATGCACTGCACCATGCTTAGCTGGGCCTAATTCTACGTTCTCATGAATACGAGGGGTACTCGGCGTTATGAAAATTATAGAAGGGGTACACATATGTCAAAAGTTTGGGAAACACTGCTATATCATCTGTAACTATTTTGCCTCTTTCCTAATTGTTCAGTCTCATATATTTCCTTGTCCGTTACATTGGACTCCTCCTGACAATGTTAAGTCATTGGGGAGGGGGATGGGCCGTGGACATCCCCACCTCTTCACTGTGATGGCACAACTTTCATATTTGCCCATTAAACTCAATGCTGCCTTTGCCTCGAGGTTTTCCAATTAAATGAGGAGGGGAAAAAAAATACAAAATCTCTTTCTTATTTTGTATACTATTTTGTATACTGTTCAGCAACAGTACAAAGTACCATTTCACCTTGTTGTTGTTTTTAAAATATATTTTATTGATTTTTTACAGAGAGGAAGGGAGAAAGAGAGTTAGAAATATCGACGAGAAAGAAACATCAATCAGCTGCCTTCTGCACACCCCCCACTGGGGACAAGCCCACAACCAAGGTACATGCCCGTGGCCGGAATTGAACCTGAGCCCCCTGAGTCTGCAGGCCAATGCTCTATCCACTGAATCAAACCGGTTAGGGCTTACTCTGGTTTTGTCTCCTGATATATTCTTGTGGCTGTTTACAGACTCCCTAATACCGAACCACTCCTGGGTCTCAGGCATGAGTTTCTTAATATGTATATGTATGTATATTAGTATGATCTCTAAATGCATAATAATCTGGCCACTCAGTGTGTGTGTGTGTGTGTGTGTGTGTATATAATTAATATGATCTCTGAATGCATAATAATCTGGCCACTCAGTGTGTGTGTGTGTGTGTGTGTGTGTGTGTGTGTGTATATAATTAATATGACCTCTAAATGCATAATAATCTGGCCACTCAGTGTGTGTGTGTGTGTGTGTGTGTGTGTGTATATATATAATTAATATGATCTCTAAATGCATAATAATCTGGCCACTCTGACACTCTGAGAGGCCAGATAATTATGGCCACCCCATCAGTACTTTCTTGGGCCTCCTTTTAAAAAAATATATTTTATTGATTTTGTACAGAGAGGAAAGGAGAGAGATAGAGTTAGAAACATCGACGAGAGAGAGACATCGATTAGCTGCCTCTTGCACACCCCCCACCAGGGATATGCCCGCAACCAACGTACATGCCCTTGACCGGAATCGAACCCGGGACCTTTCAGTCCCCAAGCCGACGCTCTATCCATTGAGCCAAACCGGTCTCGGCTGGTTTTGGCATTTTTTAAAAAAATACATTTTATTGATTTTTTTACAGAGAGGAAGGGAGAGAGATAGAGAGCTAGAAACGTCGATGAGAGATAAACATCGACCAGCTGCCTCTTGCACACCCTCTACCGGGGATGTGCCCACAACCAAGGTACATGTTGGGCCACCTTTTGCCTTCATACTGCGGTGATTCTTCTTGGCATTGATTCCAGATGTTGAAAGGTGATGCGAGGAATCTGACATCATGCCTAATGAGTAGCACTGTCCAGTTCTGTGAGATTTGATGGTTGTGGAACCAGCTGCCTGATGGCTCTTTTAACTTTGTCCCACAAATGCTCAATTGGATTGAGATCTGGTGATTGTGGGGGCACCTAAGAAAGGCATAGCCTCCCTCATGTCCTTGAAACCACTCCTGCACAATACGAGCACCGTGGCTTGGCGCATTGTCTTGTTGGAAGAAGCCATCTTCATTGGGATACTCCATCAACATGACAGGATGAACTTGATCAGCAACGATATTTAGGTATGTCGTACTATTCTGACATTGTTCCACACGAATTAAAGGGCGCAAATCATGGTAGGAAAACATGCCCCAAACCATATCACTGCCCCCACCTGCTTGAAGGATTGTACTTATGCATGTGGGTGCATACTTTCATGCTATTTCCACAAGATTCTCTCTGCCATTTGCATGATGCAACTGGAAACGTGACTCATCGGACCACATGACATTTTCCCAATGCTCGACTGTCCAATCCTTGTGTTCCAGTGCGAATTGGAATAATGTTTTATCTTGGTAACTGCAGACAGCAAAGGTGTTTGAACAGGCCTTTGGCTTCCATATCCCATACGATACAGTGTACGGCTAAATAATGATCTGGCCACTCAGTGTGTGTGTGTGTGTGTGTGTGTGTGTGTGTGTGTCTGTGTATTAGAGGCCCAGTGCATGAATTCATGGATGGGTGGGGTCCGGTCAGCCTGGCCAGGGGGAGGGGACATGGGCGGGTGGCCAGTCTGACTGCTGGTCGAACTCCTGGTCGAGGGGACAATTTGCATATTAGCCTTTTATATATATGTTTTATTGATTTTTTACAGAGAAGAAGAGAGTTAGAAACATCGATGAGAGAAAATCATCGATCAGCTGCCTCTTGCACATCCCCTACTGGTACAGGGGGGTTGATGAGTCACTACACCTGTCCCCAACCTAATCTTCTTCCCTCTCTGCTCATGTAGTCTTTGTGACTCTTGGGGGCCTCCGAAGGCCTACCCATCTTGTCCACCAAAGGGAACCTCTGGAGAGGGGTGGAGGGCAGTCAAAACACAGCAAGGGTTGGCCAGTCCGGGTCTTTTTATTTTTAAATATATTTTTATTGATTTTAGAGGGGAAGGGAGAGGGAGAGAGAAATATCAATGATGAGAATCACTGATTAGCTGCCTGCCTCCTGCATGCCCCTACTGGGAATTGAGCCTGCAACCCGGGCATGGAATCAAACCCGGACCCTTCAGTCCGCAGGCCGATGCTCTATCCACTGAGCCTAACCAGCGTGGGCCAGGCGGGTGTCTATTTGAGTTTGGGCATGATTCGGATGAAAAGGATCATGCTGATGAAAATGAAGCAGACAATGATAAGCATCGCCCAGAGCAGCCAGTTGACGGATTTCTGTGCGTGCTGCTCCAGACGTTCGGATTCCGTCTTCAGCTTCTCCAGGTTCTGGTCGGCCATCTTGAGTGAGTGCGACAGGGTCTACGGGGGAGGGTATAAAAAGGACTGGGGTCAGTGTGGACTCTCCCTACCGCCCTGGGGCAAGTCAGCACCTCTTGGCCCTGGCTGGTGCCGTTTCCTCAGCTGGGAATCTTGTCTGCTACCCGATTTGTATTTATCCAGCCAAGTCCCAGCCACAGTGCCCCTCTCCGGGGAAACCTTCTCCGATGCCCCGGGGCGGTAGGGGGAGTCGGCACAGTGCCCACAGTCCTCACACCTGGTTGTCCTTCTTGATGACACTCTGGGCGGCCAGTGTGTTGGTCTTCAGGCTCCGGGCCAGGCCTAGCATTTCTTCTGCCAGCTTCTCCTGGAGGTTCTGGTGCTGCTGCAGGACGAGGTCTAGCTCGGCTGCTGACTGCTTCTCATCCCTGGGCCTGGGACCTGCCGCTCCACTGACCCCACACGCGGGTGGACAGGTAGGCATGAGATGGGGGTGGGGTGGGGTGGGAGGTGTGGGAAGAGACAAGCATGTTCCCAGGGAACCCAGAGGTTATGGCTCCAGCCGCTGCCCCACTTGGGACTGTTTCCCCTTCTGAGCTCTGGCTTCTGGGTAAAGCATTCCCACAAGTGGCGTCTGATGGGTGACTGAGACGCTTGTGGTGGCTCCTCAGTGGCCCGAGGTTTGTCCAGCCCTCCTCCCCCCAGTACTGCCCAAGGGCTGAGGACACTCACGTTCTCTTCCTCACATCCGGCTTGGGCTCTGGAAGAGGAACAGGCCACACAGAGAAGAGGAGAGGATTGGTTCTCTGCATTCTGGTTTCTTGACCATCACCTGGGATGGGTCTGCTACACATACACCCTTTCCCAACTTGTCTGCCTCCTAGCAGGCTTCTGATCACCCCTCAAAGCTCTAGTTCAAATGTCCTTTTGTCTGGGATGTTTTCCTCACCCCCATGTGGGCTTCCCCTGGCCCAGGTCCCTCCCCCTGGTTTCCTCTGGGGATCACTTCCCCTGTCCCAGCTGCCCCCTCCAGACATGACTTGGTAATGCCCCCAGGGACACTCCCTGGGGCTGTGGAGGAGCCAGATGAGGCACAAAGGATGGGGAGCAGCAAGGTCACATGTTATGTCCCAGGCAGTTGGGACCTGAGTCCAGTTCTGCTCAGGGCGCCTCACCTCCAGCAGAGTCCTGTGGGAAAAAGGGACAGGCAGGAGGTCACCTACCTTGTCATGCCCCCAAACCCGTCCATTCTGCTCTCAGAACCTCTGTATCCTTAGGGCCCCGGGCAAGTCCCACAACCTCTGACCCTCAGTTTCCTTAACTATTAATTAATAATAACCACAGCTCAAAGCTTTGAACGGTTTAGCTCAGTGGTCGGCAAACTCATTAGTCACCAGAGCCAAATATCAACAGAACAATGACTGAAATTTCTTTTGAGAGCCGAAAACCGACTTCTGCGCATGGGCCATGAAGTTCTAATCGCACTGTATGTGCGCACCCGCACGTGGAAGAGCCACACTCAAGGGGCCAAAGAGCCACATGTGGCTCGAAAGCCCCTGTTTGCCAACCACTGGTTTAGCTGATCCATGGAAAGTTCTCTGTCATCCTATTTTACAGATGAAAAAGTCTTGTCTGTCTGTGGCAGGGGGCAAGCCAGGAGCCGAATCTTGCACTGAGCCAATTCTGTGGCTTAACCAGACACGTGCGCCTTTTGCCACGGACCAAACAAATTCCTCCTCCTCTAGCAAAACCCTGACCGGAAGACCCTCTGTTGGGAGGCCTGGTTTATGGCCTAGGACACAGGCTCCTAGAGTCCCTGTATCTGATAGTATTTCTTGTTCTGGTGACCCTCAGGCCCTGAACTCCAGTCCCCGACGGAAGGGATCCCCAGGACCAGGGAGGGTGCCCTACCATGCCCAGCAGCTCACTCCGCATCTCGCTGGTGTAGCGTGCCCGTGACTGGAGATGGACCGTCTTGGTGGCGGGCACCCGCTCCCTGGCAGTGGTTGGCACTCGGCCGGGGGCCAGGAACTGGTTGGCTAGTGCCTTCTCGGAGGAGGAAGTCTATGGAAGAGGAAACAGGTCCTGGGGACTCAGGAGAGCCGGCTGAGAAAGCTGAGAAAGAAGAGGTTCCTGCGCTCACCAGCTTCTCCGCCTGCAGCATCCCCTTCAGAAAGTCAACCTTGCGGGAATATTCATTGATCACTTCAGAGACCGGTTTGCTGGATGGCGAGATGCAAAAAGAGAAAACCTGTCCTCTGTCCCCAGTTCAGAGACAGGTCCCAGCAAGGACTGGAGCCTAGGGGTCCCCCTACAGACCCTGCTTCCCACCCTGGCCTCCCCCCACTCCCCCACCTCTGCCCTCCATCATGAAGCCCTCCTGGCCGCCTGCACTCACCTTGTCTGGGCTTTCAGAGCCTGCAGCATGTCCTCGAGGGCTCCCACGTACTGGGGAGGAAGAGTGGGTGTCAGGCGGCACCCCCATTCCTCCCCATCTTTTATTTATTTATATTTTTAATATTTTATTGATTTTTTACAGAGAGGAAGGGAGAGGAATAGAAAATCAGAACATTGATGAGAAAGAAACATCGATCAACTGCCTCCTGCACACTGCGCACTGGAAATGTGCCAAAAACCGAGGTACATGCCCTTGACCGGAATCGAACCTGGGACCCTTGAGTCCGCAGGCTGACGCTCTATCCACTGAGCCAAACAGGCTTCGGCTATTCCTCCTCATCTGGCTCGAAGGGGGCAGAGCCAAGGAGGGGTTAGGGGCTGGACAAGGGAAGGGGCCACTGTCCAGGAGGCGGGGCCCGCTGAGCCCCAGGGACGAGGTGGACGAAGCGGGTGGACGTGGCGGCGCCCACCGCAGGGGCGTGGCCAGGGCGGCCGGTGGGGGGCGGGCCCGGCTGCCAGCCCCGGGCACCTCCCTGAGAGAGTCGAGCTCTAAGCGGCAGTGCAGCGCCCCCCACCTTCTCTAGACGCCATTCGTCCGGGTCCCGCTTCTCTGCCGCCATCGCCTCGCAGCGGCACAGCAGCCGCACCAGGTTCAGCTCCAGCCTGGACGCTGCCATCACCGACCGGCGGTGCCCGCCCCTTCCGCCGGCGCCGCCACGCCCCTTCCGCCCGCGCCCTCTTGAGGGCGGAAGTGCCTTCACTTGACCTGCTTCCGGGTGGGCGTGCCCGTCTCTTTCTCAGTCCCAGCTTTAAGGGAGTTCAGTCTTGTTACCTGGAGAGGCCACAGGGTCCGCATTTACTCAGGGCCGAACCTCCAGCTTCTTCGTGGCCATCTTGCTGTAGACTGAAAAATTCCCCCGGCCAGCGCAGCAGCTGTGCATCATAAATTCCCCAGGCCAGCACGGCAGCCGCTGCACAGCTCATTACAACAAGCTCCTTAAAAGCAGGATGTGCTGGCCACTATCTGATACAAGAGGGGTAAGGCCAGGTGGCGGGAGGAGGAAGAGAGAACGGACATGTTAAATGTAAAAAATTAATTAGGAATTGCTGATGGCTAAAGGCAGATATCCGCTTCTGTACACGTAGCTTGCTTGCTTGCTAAGGGTGAGAAAGCCTATATGAGCAAAAGGTTTCTAGAACTTGGGGCTGCAGTCTGGTCCCATCTTCCCTGCACGAGCCGGCTGCAGACCCTGCGCAGGAAATAAACTCGCTTTTCTAAAAACTTTTGATCTGTGTCTGAGTGAGGTGTCTCTCCTGGGTTACAACAATCTTTACCCTTAATGAAAGGTTGAGGACCAGGGAGGGCCTTCGGTATCAGGCGCACCAGGCTCTGCTCGTTCCCACCCGGGGCTCTTCAAAATTCCTCCACCACACTCACTCCTGGCTGGCTTCTTCCCACAGCCAAGCAGCCTTCCCCGAGGGGAGGAGGGGAGGAGGGGAGGAGGGAAGGGGTGAAGGCCTTGGACTTCTGAATCCATGGGTTGGGTTCCCATCCGAACGTATATGGTTATGAGCTTCTCGTTCACAACCCTGAATCTGACTCAGCCCTCCAGCCCTTTCTTGGGAAATGGCAGTGGGAAAGTGTCGCTTCAAGGGGGAAACAGGTTAGCCCTTGGAGTGAGATGGGACTGGGTCACCCCTAAGGCTCAGACCCCCATGGAAAGAACCCAGGCCTAGTCCCCAAGGCCCCCCAGGAGCCAAGACTCACCCTGAGTAGACAGAGTGAATGAAGATGGAGGCTCCACAGGGACAACCCTGGAGTGTAAATGTTTTATCTTCCCAGCCCCCAGGTCCCCTGTGTTCCGATCACACCAGTAGGCCTGGTGTCCTCAAAGGGTACAAGGGATGAAACCAAACCCAGGATGGAGGGACACTCCCCAGCAGCGGTCGACAACCGGTGGTCCGCAGACAGACCTCTGGGGACAGCTGCTCTGGAGGCAGGTTTTGAATCCCAGCCTTGCCTCATCCCAGCGTGTGACTGGACAAGTCTCCTAGCTCTCCAGCACGTGTGGTCTGCACTGCCCCTACTGTCAGCCAGTTCCCACAACTGCCCCTGTTTGCAGCCTGGAGCTTGTGTGTGGGAAGTCGTTCCTGGCTCTGTGAGGCCCACTAACTGCCTCCCGCCCTCAGGGTGGATGGCGGTGGCTGGGGTAGGTGGGAAGAGGGTGACGAGAGGCAGCTCCCAGGACAGCAGGCTCTTCTCACTGAATGTAGCTCCAGGAACTCCCTGCTCCCTCTGGTTTCTGGTTCAATATGCTTGAGCCTCCAGCAGGCCCAACCCCCCCACCCCCAAGGATACATGTGAAATGCCAACAGCAGTGTTTGCTGGAGGCAAGGCAGGCCCTTCCAGAGGAGACCCCTGCTGCCCCATGCTCCTCCACCCCAGAGCAGGCATCACACCAACACCCCAGTCACTTTTTCTTTATTTCACATGGTTTGTAGGCACCTCTAGTCCCAGACCCAGGGCCCTCTGTCCAGGTGTCCAGGGAGTGAGGGGAGCCTGAGAAGTGGGAGCCCCGGGGATGTGCAAACTCAGGCCTTGTCCTCCTCGCCCTGGAGCAGTCCTGAGTTCCTGTTCTGCCACACGGGACAGGCAGCGCCAGGGTGGCCTCCTCCACTCAGGGGACAGTGGACAGTGAGGACCACATTTGAGTCATCCTGGGTATGAGGTCTGTGGTTCCCCAGGTGAAGGCTGCCCCCACCTCATGTCCTCACTCCAGCCAACAGCCTGGATCACCACGGAAGGCTCCACTGCTTCTCTGAAAGCGCGGGGCCGATGGCTGCCAGCCGGGCCCGAGGATGAGACCCAGACAGACTGGAGACAGTCAGGTGTCTCAATTGTCCAAACCCCTGGTCCAGGCCGTCCTCACTGTGGGCCTGAGCCTTCGCGGTGAGGCGGCCATGTGGGATTTGCTCTGAAGTCTGTGTCCGGCTTACAAAGGCGAGGCGGGGCGTTAATATAAAAGTCTGTACATAGGCTTATAAAAAACAGTTTGGTCTTCTGTTAAGGCTGTTACGGTTTAAAGTTATGTAAACCAGACGCAAAGTAACAGTTACCTGTAAAACCATACAAAATGGGGGTGGGAGAGGCCAGGCTGCCTGCCAGGATTTGGGGCTCTCGGCGGCAAATGTGTGTGAAGTTGGGGCTCAGCCCTGGCCAGCCAGCCGGCCTGTCCCTGCTGGACTCTGCAGGTGGAGCCAGTGCCCACCTCACGTTGCTCTTGGAGCTTCTCATTCCAGATCCTTCCCGGAGGCGAATGCTGGAGCTCCGGCACTCGGCTGTCCTCGGATGTCCTGACTCTGGTGCTGCGGGCCTCAGCCATTGGCCTGGCCGGAGGTGGGGGGCAGGCAGTAGGTCGGGGGGTCTGAGTACCTCCGTTTGGCCCCCGGTGGCTGGTCATCCTTGTCCAGGGGCTCCTGAGTGCCCTGCGCAGGCGGGTGCGCACCGGGTGTGATATACACGGAGTGTACCTGGTCCGGGCGTCGGGCGGGTGTCTCTCGGCGCCTCACTAGGGCTGCAGCCTCCTGGGCACCTGGTGCCTGCCCAGGGAGGTAGGAGGGCAGGCCAGGGGGGAGCTTGATGTTGGCCGTGGGCATGATGGGGGTCCGCCGGGGGGTCTTCACTCTGACCGTCATGAAGGACGACGGCCTTCGTCTTGGAGGGGCGGCCACCTCGGGGAGGGGGCTCGGGGCAGGAGCACTGGGGCAGGGGAGAGCAGGTGCGGGGGGTCCTTTTGAGAGACAGACGGCAGGGTTACTGCAGCTCCGGGGCCGGCAGACAGACCTTGCCCGGGGGCCTGCCAGGGGCGGACGGGGGAGGAAAAAAGCAGACGCTACCTTAATACTGACCTTCCGAGGCCCCCCGCGCGGCCCGCTCTTCCAACAGGCTCTCGGTGCTGGCCGACGTCTCCGAGTCCAGGTTCTCCTCGTCGGAGCCCCGGGGGTCCAGCTCTGGCAGCCGGTAGGTGATGTCCTCCCTGGGAAGGACAGGGAGGGTCCCAGGTCCCAGGCTGTTCCCATGGTGAGAGACCCCCCCATGGAGGGTGCCAGGACAGTTCGGGGCAGAGCGGGACATCCCGTCCCGGATGGGACTCCCTGCCTCCAGAACGCCCGCCCCCAGAGCTCAGCTCACAGGGAGGGGGTGTCGGGCTGTTGAGGGCAGCCAGGCGCCTGGCCCAGGACTGAGCAAGCGGGGAGCTCCTGCCTCAGGACTCTGCCTGTGCTGTTCCCTCTGCCTGAGCGCCCTCCTCTGTGCGACTTAGGCTGGCCAGGCGGCCTGGGCCACATGGTCTCCTGGCACAATTTCACACTCATAGCTCCACCGGACGCAAATTAATCTGTCACCCTGGCTAAGGCCATCTTCAAGACCAAGTCTGACTATCACCCCCGATGCCTTTCTCTCCAGCGGGCACCACGGTTCCCTGCGGAGAAGACGGGATGTAAACTAGCTCAGGCGCTCCGTGAGGCGGGCGCTGGGCGGGGGCCGGAGCCTGGCCCGGTGGCTCCAGCGCGCAGTGGAGGGACTGGCGGGCGGGGCTGGATGGTGCAGGCGGGGGCGGAGAGGGGACGGAGGGGCACTTGCTTCTCCTCCTTGATGGACTGGATCCGCTCGATGAGGATCTCCTTCTCCCGGTCCTCGTCCTCGTCCTGGCCGGCTGCCTCCTCCTCGGGCAGCACCCCCAGCTCCTCGGGGCCGCCGCCGCTGCCCCGGGCCGCGGGGCTCTTGTTCTGCGGGAAGAAGCACAGGTTTGGTGGGGCCTCCCTCGGGCGGGCGGGGCCAGTGCTTGTGGGTGGAGAGGGTGGCGTGTGCAGCCCCAGGGGTGGTTAGTTCTGCTGTGGCTGGCTGGCTGGGCTTGGTGAGGCTTCTCCAAGAGCCACTCTTAACCAAGTGGCCCCGGCACAGCTGGTTAGTTGTCCTCAGCACAGGTGGCCAACAGGCAACAGGCCTCCCCCAGCATGCACTTCCGGAGGTTAGGACATGCTGGGCCTACCCTACGGGGACCCTGGGGGCAGAGGGGAACCCCAGCATGCACTGCGCTAAGACATGCAAGGTGGGCCCACCCATCGTGTACATACCAGGACCCCCTCATAGGGAGACGAAAACCCCAGTTTGAGAGGCCATGGCTGGGGGAGAGATGAACAGAGGGTGACCACATGGGACCACGACAAGGACACCGGTTGTGTTATGGTCGCTGAGCCACATCTGACCATGGGGGCAAGGACAGGTCCTCCCCTGGAAGCCCAGGACCTGCCCTCTAAGTCCCTCCCAGCCCCACACCGGGGCCACTTCTGTGGGATCAGTCCCCTGTGGGAGGGACCCAAGACAGCGAGGACCAGGGCAGGAGGATGAAACACCACCCGCTGGGGGACAGTCTCCCACTGCCCTGTGAGGGCAGGGCAAAGAGGCAGGGCAGGGCAGTGGTCACTGGGCTGAGGCAGGAAGTGGCCCCGGATGCGGCCAGGGGTGTTGGTGGTAAGGGAAGTGAGACCTGGTCCTGACTCAAGCCCTGCTCACAGGGCCACTCCCACCCAGGCATGTTCCAACCGCAGCCCCGGAGGACCCGCCACACCGAGGGCTCACAGTGTTCTGTCGCAGGAGTGAGAGCCTGCGGAAGGCAATGCTCTCGGCGGCCTCCAGCTGGCTGATCTCCTCCATCTTCACCTTGTACTTCCTCATCTGCTCCTTGATCAGCATCTCTACGCACCTGTGGCGGAGGCCCGTGGAGAGGGCGACTCAGAGACGGGGCCGGGGATGGCTGGCCTGGGGACCGGGTATCCAGGGAGGCGCTGGCTGGAGATGGCACCACGGCCAAGGCAGAGCCCCATGCAGAGGCCAGGCAGGGCCAGGGGGATGGCTGTGGCTGACTGGCTGGGTGACCTTGGATGACTCACTCCACCTCTCTGAGCCCGAGTTCCCATCTCAACAAGCCTCCTTGTCTGAAGGCAGAAGTGTGCACAGAGGGTTGGAGTGAACTGACTCTTCAGTCACGCTGTGGGGTGGGGGTTATCTCATTTCACAGAGAAGTGTGAAGTGCAGGGAGCCTGGGTAACTTGTCCTAAGGACGCAGGCAGCTGGCCCCGGGCTCCAGAACATGCACTGTCCCAGCAGTTCATCTGCTCGGTAGCCAGGGCCAGCCTGGAGCGGTCAGTATGGGAGGGACTCAACCCGGAGCGTTCAGCTCCGAGGGCACTCAGCCTGGATGGACGACCAGTAACATACATTCCCATCAGCAGAAGCACATAAGGGATAAAGAAGCAAAGACTGTGCTGGAAGAGACTGGAAGCAGGTCTGTCAGGCCAGGCCAGGCTCCTCTCTTCCCACTGCCTATCTGTCACCTTTCATTAACTGTGACAAGTGTGACCTTGGGCTGTTCTGACAGGCCTTCTTGGCGTGTTTGCCTCATGAAACCACCTACAGTGACAGGTTCTTGTTTTCTCAAGTCACCTAAACTATGTCCTCTTAATGACTGATGTCTGACGATCTTCTGAGGAACTTAAAAAAAAGTTATTTAAAAAAAAATATATTTTTATTCATTTCAGAGAGAGGAAGAGAGAGCTAGAAACATCAATGATGAGAATCATTGGTTGGCTGCCTCTTGCACGCCCCCTACTGGGGATCAAGCCCACAATCCAGGCATGTGCCCTTGACCAGAATTGAAACTGGGACCCCTTCAGTCCTCAAGCCGAGGCTCTATCCGCTGAGCCAAACAGCCAGGGCCTTTTGAGGAATTTCTGGAGAATTTTGCAAAAGGCTCAGGGGAAAGGAGAAACCTGGAGACCAGTGCTTCCGTTTGCTACCAGCTCTCTCTGCTGCCGGAGGGGAGTACACTGACTGCATGTCTGCCCCTCGCCCTGGGATGAGGGGTGAGGTCCTCTCCTCCTTCATAGTCTCCAGCCTCAAAAGAACTTGGAGGGTCCCTGGCAGGGCCACCAGAGTGTGTGGGGGGATGGGGCCGGCTGGGCACTCACGTGGTGATCTTAAGGACGTCCTTCATGCTGGTCAGCGGGTCTGAGTTGTCAGGGCAGCGCAGGAGGCAGGGTGCGAAGATGATGGCCAGTGCACTGGGCGACATGCGGTTCACGTCCTCGAGCAGGGCCACCCTGCGCAGCGAGCGGCGGTTAGGGCGGGGTGGCCGGGGGATCCCCCAGACCCCTCCACATGGGCCCGTGTCCTGGTGCAGAACCAGCAGAGAACACTCGCCCGGGAGTGGGCGGTGGGGGCTCCGCAGGGACCCTCCCCACCCCCACAGAGAGTGGCCGCGGGCACTTGCTTGACCAGGTGGAAGATGAGCCGCTCCAGGGAGTTGTGATTGGCTTCCGGCAGGTGCTCCAAGACGGCATAGATGGCGGCCAGCTGCTCCTGCTTCTCTGGCAGCTCTAGGAAGGCCACGGTGTCAGCTCCCCACAGGCCCCAGACGGGTCCCGGTCCCACCTCCCTGGCTGGCCACAGGGTGCTCATGGCTGTGACCCGCCATCTACCACCTGCCTGCCCGTGCCACCACCACGGACTCACCCACAGCTCGGAGGAAGTCGCCGTACTGGGCGAAGGTCATGAGGGGCTCGGGCAGCTCCCTCAGCCACTGCTTGAGCACCCCGGTGATGGCGTGGATGGGGAAGTTGTCCAGCTTCACTGTAGAGGGGTCTGAGGGGAGGGCGAGCAGGGCCGGTGAGCACAGTGCAGGGGGAGCCCTGCACGGCGCCTTCCTGCTGCCCACCCGCTCCGAACGCCTGCCCGCACGCAGGTCCCGCCCGCCCGCCCGCACCCACCTGTCTGCAGCGCCTGCCGGAGCTCCCGCGTGCGGTTGGCGGCGCCGGACTTGCGGTAGAGGCCCTCGGTGTATAGGCCGTGCATCTCCACGTGTTCCAGAAGCTTCTCCAGCACGATGGGCACCGAAGCCTTGTCACTGGTTAAGCTGTCCACGCACACGCCAAAGTGGCCCGGCTCGGCACCCGGCTCGCTCTGCAATCCCGGGGGGTGGGGGCGAAGCCTGGGTTAGCCGTCCTCCCTGGCTGCCCTCAGGCCTCCTCTGTGGGCGCCATCCCTCCCTCCCTCATTCCCCGTTGCAGGTTGCTGAGTGCGCTGGGCTGAGAGGTCAGATCAAGGGCCCCGGGGCAGGGGCTCCCTATGAGGAGCACCAGGGTCCTCTGAGAGCAGTCAGTCCCCGCTCCTGCCTCTGTCCAGTGCTCAGGACCCTGCCTTCCTCGGGGGCACAGTGGGGGGAGTCCCTCCGCCACCCAGGGAAGGGAAGAGCAGGGCCAGGTCTGAGATGCTACACAAGCCTGGCCCCTGCCTTAGGGGCTCAGGCAGAACCGGATGTGCTCGGTTGGGGGCACCTGGCCCTGAACTAATGTTTTGCAAAGCTCCCGGCCGCGCTGGGCTCACCTTCCTCCCACATGGGTAGGAGCAGTAGGTCTGGATCTTGTGCATGCACTTCTTGTGGCAGGTCATCTTGCACACTAGGAGGTCATGTGGGGCAGGGCGGGGGGAGGGTGGTCACAGGCGGAGCATGAGGGACCCCAGGTTCCCGTGGCTGCCTGTCCCAATGGCTAGGGGGACAGGGACCCGCCAGCTGGATTCTAAACTTGCACCGCACTAATCTCTGCCTGATTCCAAGGGGGCTGTGCTGGCAGGTGTT